GGGCATCCACAACCTCTCCGGGCAGCCTGTTCCAGCACCTCACCACTCTCTCCGTAAAGAATTTCCCCCTGACGTCCTTCTGGCAGAATTGGATTTTGTGTCTCCAATTGATGGCACCGCTGTCTGAGCACAGTGACACTTTGGCTCCGTATTGCCATTTACTAGGGACTCTCGTGGACTTAATCGGAACTCCGTCTTCTATAGATGTAAAGAAACAAACAGCTGGGCTTAGCTGAAATGGGAAATTGGTTAAAAGGCCTTGGGAGATCAGTTGTGCTGTTGGTTGATGCCTTGCTAACATTAAGCCTCATTTCTCTGCAAGGCTGAAGTACGCATGCTCATTTTACATGGATAAACAGCAGAAAGGTTTTAGGACGGTCCCTTTCTTCAGATTTTGGGGTCAGAGGGCCCTGTCCAATGGTGTTAGGAGGCAGAAGGTAGCAGTTGGTTTCACTGCTGACTTCCTTATGAGCTCAGCAGGCAGCAGGTAAGGAACCAAATCCATTCAGGAGCCACTGCTCTGCTGTGCTTCTCACTTGCCCTGCTTCTTGTGACCTTCAGGTTCAGCAAGCTCTTAAAGTTAATTATATCCCTAATTACTTAGTAAACTTGTTTCCAGATACTGTGAACTGAGACAAGGTTCAGATGTAAATGGATGTCCTTTTTTTGCTGCAGTAAATAACGTTAAAATGTTTCCTGACCATATCTAGTTGGTTACAGCTATTGAAATTTAGAAAATCAAAAGTATTTTTTGTTTGGCCAACTGTAGGCCAGGTTGTAGTGTAACATTTTTAATTTCCAGTTCCTGAGCTTAGTTTTGGTTAGTACTGTTTGGCTTTCATACGGACTTAATTATTGTCTCAGAGATGCTGAGATTCCAACCTTTTATAAAAAGCATTGAAATGTATTTTTGACAAGTGATAGGAGTGTCTGGGTTGCATAATAATTATTTAAAGTAAATATTTCACCTTTTTTCAAGGTTGCTAACTTCAGTCTGTACTTCAATTGAGGAATATTGAGGATTCCTAAAACGCAGATTTCAAAGGAAAGTATTTTTACCTTCATAGAACAACATTATCACAAAACAAACTTGTTCTTCCAGTCTTACCTGGGCTGTATAATGCATGTGATCGAAACATCAGGGCAAAAGTATCACGAACAATTTTATTTTCCTGCTGTTGTCTTTTCTGATATTTGTCTGATACTCGCATTTCTTTTTATTTAGACAATAGAAGTATCTGGAAGAGATGCTTTAACTTGAATATCAACACTTGAAAGCTTTAGCTCCGAAAAATAAGCATGATACTCAAGTTACTGTTTCCTTCTTTTTTATTTATATTTTGAATAGCACTTACAAGAATATTGTGTAAATTAATGGTCATATTTTCCGGAATTATTCTTTTGTTGCTCTCTATTGAACATCACAACAAATGAATTACAAAAGATACAAATTTAATTGTTATAGCAAAAGGTTTCATAAGGAGATGACTGCAAGAATCCAGATTTTTACTTTTCCATTGCATTCAGCATAGCAAAAAACATCATTTTCTGGACTTGATATCAAAGGCCATGGTTGTAGATTTTTATTAAACTGTCCTAATTTCTTTGCATATTATGTAGCTGTATCAATTAAATATCAGTGGAGGAAATTAGTTTTTGCTTACTTATTTTAGAAAAAGGAAATTTGAAGTAGCCATAAAGATTTTAAAAAGCAGTACATTTTCTTTTAGTTTGAAACATTGATGACTTTTTAAGATACAAACCTACGCAGAACAATATGCTGTTACAGGTGAAAATTTTAGTATGGTACCAGAATTACTGAAGTGTCAAATATGCCCATATCTGAAATCATACTATCAGTTTCAATTAGCAGCTTGAAGTTTGGAGGATGGCTTGAAAAAAAAAAAAGAGAAAATGAACCTTCTTATTTGTAGGCTCAGCTGTGTCCTAAAAACACAGAGCATCCATCTTCTCTCAGCTACCAAATCTGTCTCCTTTCTGTATGTGATGCAGAGTCAAGTTTCCTGCCTGTCTGAAACAGTTCTCCTTTCTCTTGGCAGTGCTAGGTTTCCTAATTACAGCTATGATCCTGTAGGCACCAAGGTAACTTCACGCACCATCTGAACCGTGCCATTACTTTGCTGAAATTACTATTGCAGTCAAGGAAAATAAACAAATGCATAAACTTGTTTGGGTTGGGATTGTCTGTTACTGAATGATGCAGAAGGCAGAACAAACATCACTCTTACTGCTTAATTTGAAAGGTGTATTTAAAAAGTTGGCATTTGAATAATATTTTAGGCTGTATTGCTGTTTCACTATTGATTTATGGGGTGGGGGTGGCAGAGGGAATGTCTGGATGGAGTGGCAGACAAAAGGCTGGGGATCTCACTTCTCCAAAGGGTCATCTTTCTCCTAGTTCTTCTATCCCTTCAAACTCATGAGTTGGTTCTTCTTTCGCTGACCCAGTAAAAACCAAACCCTGTAAGCATATGCAGAGGGGAACTCAGTAACTGCACTTCTCCAGCCCTACTGATCCCAGAGCTCTGCTGGTCTCGTTTTGGTCTGTAAGCTGCTTTGGTTTTGCGTTCTACTTTAAAGGATCATTTGATCATGAAGTTGTTCATATGGCTAAATAACTTCTGAAGTGCTGCTGCAGCCTTTTGGTCGCTACCTACACTTTCTTATGCACTGCTCTTTTCATCAGACCTAGAACTAGTGGAACAAAATTAACAGTTTCAATTAGGTACATATTTTCCTTACGAAAGTAGCTTCATTTTCTACTGTTAAGTAGAAACAGGTAAAAACAGTTTTATTAAACACCACTTTTTTGTGTCTGTGTTAGAGAAAGGAAATTGAAAATTACCTGAACGCTGACATGTTGTTTTTTTTTAACAGGGACATTTTTGTTGGTGGTTGACTTTGGTTTTGAGTCCAAAGTTTTGACTTTGTGAGAAAGTTACGTATCCCTACTGTTATTTTTGCCTGCTTAGCAAATATCCTGTATAGCAGTTATGTATATCAGATATGTAGCCTGAAATGCTGTGTAACAGTTGAAACTGTGCAAGTGGTATCATTGAGAAATGCAGTTACTTTGAATTATTTTTTCATTCTTGCAAAAGTTAATTCTTTAAGCTCAAGAGACATTAAGATTCACAGCTCTGCTCTTCTAAGAGGTATGGAATAAAAACAGCACAGCATACCAACATCAAAGTTAGTGGTGACAACTGATGATACATACCCCAGGAGATACAGTTACACTTCTAGGAATTCATTTCCAGTTTGTGATCTCTTAGTCCTTACCTTTTCTTGACGTAATTGCAGAGATTTAATAGCAAGTGCTATTTAAGTCATACTTTGGAAAAAAGAGAAGTAGGAGAGTACATGAGGTGCTGAGTTATTGAATATAGAGAAGGATGAAATGATCCTAGGCTAGGAATCTGCCGTTATTAATTGACAGTAGTTAAACAGAAATATTTTAAAGCGTTTATATTAGTGGTGGATTAATTTTGTGATTCCTGCATAATTTAACATTTTGTCATAGTGAGGTTAAGAAAGCACTTTTGATTTTTTTATATTATCAAATGGGTAACTAGTTCTTCAGGTCTGAGTATTTCCTTTTAGTTTGTTGTGGTTTTTTTCCGCAAGTATACATAAAGTATAAATTAAACTCTACAAGACAGAAGGTATGTAAGGCTGGATTGCTGACTCCCAGGTCAGTAGTACTTTAAATAAAGAACAGTGTGTCTTAAACAGATTGCCGAGTACTGTTTGGTTTCTTTGTCTCTCCTATTACCCCACCAAAAGCTAACCTTGTGAATACTTGGCAGCAGAGGTGATTTTGGCTTTAATCATTGTATCCCTTATGGCCTAGGAGATGAGTCATCATCATTCTGGGCAGCTATGGAAAGATGTACTGACAACCACTAAATATGGATGTTCTAGGAGGTGTGGCTTAATACATGGAGCTCATGGGAAACGCCGTCTTGACCACTGTATACATGTTCACTTTTATTCATCATATAATCACTTTTTTATTTTCTTTTTTTCAGTTCATGCAAGTACATATTTAATATGTTTGGAAATCTTTGTGACAAAATGGAGAGCCGACAGAGTACTTACTATTCATACTAATGGGTTTTATGATAAAAGTTGTATTGACATTCTGTGATTGTAAGGAGTCTTGAAGGGGTTTTTCTGTATATGCCAAATATAGTTTATTCTATCAATTGTATGTGTACACGTGTATCATGTGTGTATCTGTTATATGTTATATCCTAGTGGCTGCTATTTCTGCATCAACTTCAATGAGCTGAAGTTCACCCTCCCTTTTTGTCCACCAAAAAGTTGATTTTTCTTTTTCTATTGGCAGGTATTTAATTAGTCAAGGAGCACATGTAGGAGCTGTAAATAGTGAAGGAGACACTCCATTAGATATTGCTGAAGAAGAGGCAATGGAAGAGCTGCTTCAGAATGAAGTGAATAGACAAGGTAATTTTAAATGTGAAAGGCTGTTTTTGTTTGTTGAATGCTAAATATGTTTTTGAAAGTGTATGTATAAATTAACAATTTTAAAGTCAGCTTTTTCTAAAGAGAATTGTTAATACTGTGTACGTTCCTGAAGCTGTCTTCCAGGCATTTTAGCTCATCCCAACCTTTTCAGAAGAAAGAGCTTGGAAGTACTGAAACCAACCAAGATGTTGGTTGGATTCCTACATCACACAGCAGAATTTAAGTGGTATTTAGATAGTATGGATGGTGTACCATCCATTTGGGGTATATCCCAGTTTAGATTAAGTTTAAAGCTAGATATCTGTACTGAAGGAATCTACATTAGAGAAGAGGAAAATAGGCGGTTCTAGAGTGACTCAGATGTCCCTTTTAGGATGAGATGAATCTAGCCTGAAAGTAACTGTTTCTTTCCATTGATACCCTGGAATAACTGAACCAAAAGTAAACAGCTATACCCCATCATGTAGGCAACCCTTTCTATCTAGTTTTGACCAATTGGGTGCCACACACGATGCCAAATGTCTGAAACTACCTGTTAGGATTGGGAGTCAAAAATTGCGCTTGTTTTAGGTCTAAGAACAAAAATTATTTCCAGTATTTCCTGTGCTCACCTGAGAGCACCATATAGTTAATGGATAGGTGTCAAGTTTTGATAGTATCATTTGAAAGTGCACATCCTAAATATGTGCTCTTTATTCCTAGAAAATTAGTAGGGCAGATCTAGCAGTGCTGACTTTATAAAAGAGATTGGCCTTCAAAAAAGAATATTTATTCCTTTTTCTCTGATACTTTTTTCCTCCTTATTCTACTATTTCCCATTTTCAATACTTATTTTCCAGGGAAAGTTATTTGAAAGTTTGAGGTTTTTCTGTTCCACATAGGAGAGAATATTCAGATGGTGTTCTCATCGTCTCAAGTCTTATGATATGAGACAATGCATTACTGACATGATATGAGGCATGCATTACTATCCCAAAGTGCCCAGTACAAGAAGTGAGATGATGTGGTCTAAGTTACATCATGCTCTGAAGGAAGATGGTACTCAGTAAAGACAGAGCCTTTGTGAGGAATGTGCTGGGGATCTGCATCTCCATCACTTCCAACCACCTTCCCCCTTCTTAGCAGCCTCCTTCCTCCATGAAAATGTTACTTTTTTGTAACAGAGAATCTGTATCTCTAAGACAGATTTACATAATGCAGCAGTAAACAATTAATTGCTTGAACCTTTGCCATGATGTAATTTGAATGCTTAAACCTGTTTAATACCAAAAACAAATGTTAAGAAGAAAGTGGGTGGCGTGATAAACAGGGAAATAAGAGGTGCTAATATGTAGAAGACTGTAGATTTGACAAAGGCTTTCACTCATGTATTACTGTTAAATGAATTTTAATTGACAGTTCTTATGGCAAGCACATAAAGAACTCCAGATTAGGGAGGCTTGAATATTTTTGTGTGAGTGCAACCATCTGTCTATTTTAATTAGTTTTGAGTGGGAAAAAAGAAAGAGTGCAGCTGTTCTTCTGCTTTTTTCCAGAAGAATGTTGTCAATCTTTGCTAGAGAGTTATGTCTGATTTGTACATCAACCTAAATGATTTAGGTGGATTTCAATACATTTGACTTTACTGACATGGTAGTAATTGACTGTAGTTCACAGAATCACAGAATGGCCCTTGTTGGAAGGGACTTCAAGGATCATGAATCTCCAATCCGTCTGCCACAGGGGGGCCTCCCCGTTTAATACTAGACCAGGCTGCCCAGGGCCCCATCCAGTCTGACCTTGAACACCTCCAGGGATGGGGCATCCACAGCCTCTCAGGGCAGCCTGTTCCATCACCTCACCACTCTCTCTGTAAAGAACTTCCCCCTGACATCCAACCTAAATCTTCCTTCCCTCAACTTAAAACCATTTCCCCTCATCCTGCTGTTATCTACACTTTCAAAGAGTTGATTCCCCTCCTGTTTGTAGGCTCCCTTTAGGTACTGAAAGGCTGCAATGAGGTCACCCCGCAGCCTTCTTTTCTCCAGGCTGAACAAGCCCAGCTCCCTCAGCCTGTCTTCGTAGTGGAGGTGCTCCAGTCCGCTGATCATCTTTGTGGCCCTCCTCTGGACCCTCTCCAACAGCTCTTTGTCTTTTTTGTACTGGGGGCTCCATGCTTGGACACAGCACTCCAGATGGAGCCTCACAAGAGTAGAGGGGGACAATCACCTCCTTGTCCCTGCTGGCCACCTCTCTTCTGCTGGAGCCCAGGATACCATTTGCTTTCTGAGCTGTAAGGGCACACTGCTGGCTCATGTTAAGCTTTTCATCCATCAAGACCCCCAGGTCCTTCTCCACAGGGCTGCTCTCAAGGACCGCTCCTTCCAGTCTGTATGGATGCCTGGGATTCCTCCGGCCCAAGCGCAAAACTCTGCACTTTGCCGTGTTGAACCTCATCAGGTTCACCTGGGCCCACCTTTCTAGCCTCTCGAGGTCCCTCTGAATGGCATCCCGTCCTTCAACCGTGTCAACCACACCACTCAGCTTGGTGTCGTCAGCAAACTTGCTGAGGGTGCACTCGATTCCGTCATCGATGTCATTGATAAAGAAGTTAAAGAGCACCAGTCCCAAGACAGGCCCCTGTCCATATTGACATAGAACCACCCTCTGTCTGCGGCCTTTCAACCAGTTTTTTATCCATTGAGTGGTCCACCCATCAAATCCACATTGCTCCAATTTGGAGATAAGGATGTGGTGGGGGACCATGTCAAAGGCCTTGCTCAAGTCCAGGTAAATGACATCAGTCGCCTTCCCTCTGTCCACCAATGTCATCATTCCATCATAGAAGGCCACCAGAGTGGTTAAGCATGACCTTTCCCTGGTGAAGCCACGATAATGTATATATATAATTATATGTTTTAATGCATATTTTTACAGTGTAAAGAATCAACATGCAATTTTATTTTATTTTTTTTAATTTTTAATTGAGTTTAATTATTTTGAACAGCCCACTTATAAAATCAGCATTGGCAGTCAAAACTAAATGCCACAATTCACGGAAAATTTCAGACATATTTTATATATAGATATATTTATATATACATAGGTATATTTGGAAGTGGTTTTAATGCTTACATACTTACAGGTCTGTTACAGGACCTGGTAACATTGTTATTTTTGTAGTTAAATCTATCTAGATTAGTTCTGCAGAGTTTTAGCCTAGATATTTCATGTATGTGTTGTTCTAAGTGAATTTATCTTATTATTGTTTTATCTATATGATTGTTATGTATGTATATTTTATATGCATGTATGTGTATATTCTATCTAGCTTCTTTGGCTGTTAGACCTCTAACATAAAGCTCTAAAATTAAGCTCTAAAATAACTTGTTTGTTTGTTTCAGTGTGGAATTAACACTGATATATGGTGACAGTTTCATCTTTGACAGTACATATGGTTAAATGCTTTAGCATTGCTCCTCATAAAGCAGTACCACAGTTTAGGTAAAACAAATGAACTGTGAAATCTGTGGAACATTAAACCCCAGTTCAGTGCTACTGGTAGTGGAACATAAGCAAATTTACTTTGAAAAGGAACAAACTCAAGTGACAAAAAAATCGTAGCCCTGTGTAGATAAAACATTCACTATAGCTTCTTTTTTTCCGGTGTTGCTTAGTTAATGCTCTGATTATGGTTTCCTACATATTGACATCAGGGCTTTTTTGTGGCAGAAGATTGCCTGGAGCGATCAGTCTGATTCATTGTGATTTCAAATATTTTGTAGTGATGATGTTTGACATTTGTTTCTGTTGGAAATCTGGGGAGAATTACCGTGTTAGCTTATCCTTTTTGCTGCTTCAGAGTTGAAGTCGGAGTCTTCTAATTGTGCAATTATTCTGTCTTCATCTCTTCATTTATATTTTTGACCAATTTTTAAAACCATTGAAATACATTTTACAGACATATCTGACTACAGCACAAAATTCATAGATGCAAATTACAGAACAATATACAATTTAGCTCTATATGACCTTACAGGCATAATAGAAAGAAGGATCCATCATGTTTGCTCATCCTGTTCTAGCATTCAGACCCCAAAATCTAAATTACCTAGGGAGGAAATGGTCATCTACCCAAATTAATCTCCTGTTTTACAAGTCCTGTGATAAGGAGTGTTGTACATGAAAAAAACAGAGCTTATGTATTACTAACATCTTCTTTCAGTTATTCTGGAGTCCAAGTGCAACACTCCTCAGTTGCGACCCTTATTCACACTTCTTTTCTTATAAATTCTCCTGTGGGCCACGGGCCCCTAAACCAGGACACCTTGTATACTAGGAAGCATATATCAAGACTGGTTGATACAGGCTTTGCTGTCATTGTGAACTACCCTATAGGTGAAGCCACAGCACTCTTACAGTAGGGAAAGTGTTTTTCTACCCAAACTTTCACATGGGAGTAAAGACTGTACTGAATTTTGACTACTTTGGAGTAATTTTGCAACATTCTCTATTCTGATGTTTTAGTATTGTCTTTAGTATTTCATATAATAAAATAAATCTATTATATTGTTTCTAACGTGTGTGTGCAGTGGCTTAATTATTTCTTAAGCTTAAAACCTAGTTTCATTTTGTACTTTGTGAGAAGGTAAATTATAAATGTACCATTGAAAGTTACAGAGATTTTTTTGACATGATTATGAACAGGGCACTCACACATAGCAAAATTAGGCATTCTGTGGAAATTATTCCAGCGTAGTGCAGAACAGCTATAATCTTTGCACGCCTTGTGTTTTAAATATTTCCTCTGTTTTACAAAAATACTTCCTCTTAGACCTGTTTTGTTGTCTCTCCATATGGCTAATGTCTCTGTCATGGGCTGGTCCCACATGTATAGATGTCACTGGAAATGTTTACCTTTAGTAAAAATATTAATATTTCCAATTTCTTGATATGATTCCCCGTGTTTCTGCTCTGTGGTATTTCAGCGTGCTGTAGTTAAGGAAGCTGATTTTTGCCAGTAGTGGGAAGCCTTTCAATGGGGGGTAGGTGAAAGCTGACAGACTTGAGAGCCACTTTGCTAGGCTACCACTTTAATTCCAGCTACCCCTTTAATAATATTTAAAACTCACCAGCTTAAAATGTTGGCACTCCTTGGGGTCTTGAGTAGGGTTAAGCATTACGGTTGAAGCGATTTTTTGGTGATGGAAGGTTATTTATCATCAGATGCCCTCTTAAATTTATTTTTAACTGCTTAAGCAGTTATTTTGAATTATAGGAGACATTCTTGAGGGGTGAGTTAGTGGGGAGAGGTGACGTGAGGTGAATCAGGAGTTCATGATACAGGGCAGCACTTACTGTGTGTTAGGGAGATTGCTGCTTGTTTTTGAAGCAGAAGCCAGTGTTCCTCATTCTTCATCATAGGTGAATGTAATGACACTATCTCCAATGTATTGCTTAATTCAACTTTGTTTATGTGGACAAAATGCGAACTATTACATTTGTATATAAACATTAACTACATTAAGTAAAAAGTGGGTTGATCTTCCCTGTAGTATCTATAAAACATGCCTTTATATGGCCGAGCAGCGCTGAAACAGTGATTCAGCATTTCAGTTCACGCTCAGTTTCTCTGAGCACTCGAACAGCGCAGGATTATCAAATCAGGTCAGAACTGTTGAATAGCACTTGTTGATCAGAAAAAAAAAATGAAAGCATTTAGCAATTAATTATTAACGATTTAAGCAGTCGTCAGGCAGCCAGAGGTTAAGCAAAGTAGAGCTGTAAGCAAAGGCTCCAGCTGTTCCGGAGCTGGGAGGCCGCACATTGCCATCTACGGGCCGTATGCAGAAAGTGGCCGGGAGGTGTGCCGAGCGTTATCTTCTTGTCCCTGATATCGTGCTGCAGAGTTTGGAAAACAAGAGCAGGGAGGAAGGTCCGTATAAGGTATCACAAAGACCGTTCATATTCCATTTTCTGTGTTTAATGAAGGGAGCAATATTTAGCTTATCTCGAAGCACTGCCTTTTTTTTTTTTTTTTTTTTTTTGACACAAAGTCCAATTGCCAGTTAGTACTGTGAGTTTTCTTTCAGTTGGCAAGATTACTTTCGTCTGTTGAAACATGATCAGAAACTTACTATCTTGTTAGCTACTGTATTAACGTAGATGTTTGTCCTCTGCAGCTGTTCTGCCTTGTTTGGGCTTCACAGATGCACAGATGGGAGGCTATATTTAATATTACTTACTGTTCCTGCAAAAGCATTGATATTTTTTCATTAATAGGTCAGGATAAGACAAGAGGGGGATGGTTTTAAACTAGAAGAGGGGAAGTTTAGGTTAGACATTAGGATGAAGTTCTTTACTCAGAGGGTGCTGAGGCGCTGGCACAGCTGCCCAGAGAAGCTGTGGTGTCCCATCCCTGGAAGCACTCAAGGCCAGGTTGCTGGGTGACCACTCTGCCAACAGCAGAGGGTTGGAACTGGATGGGCTTTATGATCTCTTCTAACCCAAATCGTTCTTTGATTCTATGGTTTTGACATAATTGATTCTTCAGGTGTATGTGAAAATTATGTTTAAGGCTTCAGCCATTGGAATATCAGCATCAGGCTTTTCTCTATTGTTACTGTGCACTAAAGCACATCAGAACAAGCACACATGTGAGCAATTGTCCACTGAAACGAATTTATGTAGGATCGTTTGCATGGAAAAGTTACTTGAGCCGAGAAGTATTTCACTTAGAACTCTAGCATGCAAACAGGGTGGACATAATTCTAACTAGCATGATACATAAACTCCTTATTTGCATAATTGTGTCTGGCAAGAAACAGTAAAATGTAAATGATCTTACTCTAGGGAATTGTTTTCCCAAGGTCTGCTGATGTGCTGCTGTGTCATTCTGAAAAACAAACAAACACAGAGGCCCCAGAAATGTATGCTTTGCAATAGTTCATATGTACAACATGCAGAAGTCTTCTGGAGGAATAAGAAGACATGAGTATAAAAATGTTATTGATTCAAAGTTCCTAGTCTTCATTCTTCATGTTGACCAGATTATAAAGACTTTAGTTATGTAAAATTTAATGTCTACAGATTTGTTTGTCATGCCTTGTATTGAAATTGGCAGTTTCATAAACAACAATTACTTTAATTTCTATCCCACTTTCTTTCAATATTTTAGCTTTTCCTTGGACTCTGCTTAGTGCTGCAGCAATGGTTTGTGTCTTCCTGCCTCTTGCAGACTTCACCTCCAGATTTTTTCTTCAGTTTCCAATGCAAATTCATTGTGTTTATTAAATTGCAAAGGCTGAGATGACTGATCTGTGGGTTAAGTGGGTGAATGTAGAAATTCAATCAACTGCTTAAAATGCTTAATATATATATTGATATATATATAAAATAACCTGCTCGGTTATTTTATAATACCGAGGAAAGTTGCATCTTTATGTCCATCATTAACGTACAGTTTTTTACAAATAAATTCCTGTTTGCATATTTGTTGCTTTGGAGTATCTGTTATGATGAGAATGAATTGAAGAAGTAAAATCTGTTGCAGGCCTTTCTATGAAGCTTGCAGCTGAACTGAATGTAGTAGTATTTGATACTGTTTACAAATAATAAAAAAAAAAGTTATTTCAAAAACAAACAGAAACCCTCAACACTTCTTCAGCTGTAGTGATCTCTTGTTAGTTTGCTCTGAAGTTTGCTCTTGACCATTTAGATCTCAGCATTGTTTTTATGCATGTACCGAAAGGGAAGAAATAGGCACTACAACCTCCTTTTAGTTCAGGCATTTTTCATGTGTGAAAGGGATTTCAGCTCTGTCATACAATAGCTGACACCAAACAGATTACATTGTGTTTCCAGAAGCATTTAATCGTCACATTCGTTCTGTTTGCATGTCAGTGAAGTTTTTGACTTGGGCACACCATTTCAACGTGCCTTTTTTCATTTGTTGTATAATGGGGGAATTGCAGCTTTTGTTCTGACAATAGATGTGTTGTAATTACCTAAATTAATCAAAGGCATTCTCAGTGAGAAATATTTTATTATGTTCGTGCTATAGAAAATAATCAAGGAAATGCAAATTCATGTGTACCAGAATATAAATCTCAGTCTACCATCCATTGCCTGCTGGGTGTTTTAGCAGTGCCATCCTAATTACTTTTGGTTTGCCTGATGTTTCTCCACATCTGGCTTTTTATTGTCACAGAATTGCTAAAACTTGATGTAGGTGATTTACTATAATTTGTTTTACCATATGCTATGCAGTAGGAATGATGCATTACATTACAAATGATCATCTGTGTATTGTTCTTTTCTATTTATGATGTTGGTAATTTCTTTAATGGAGACCATTTTAATCCTCAGCTCAATTCTTAGGCAAGAGTTAGATTGAATTTTGTTTGGTTTCTGTATTCTGAGTATTCATTCAGTCTGTAAAGAATGAATAGATCAGTTTCTTAGAAGACTGTACAGCCTGAAATTGCTTTTCATTATTAAGGCTTTGAGAATTAATTAAAGTTAATTATTTAGGTAGAATGGGGTTGAAAAGAGTTGTTCTAGGTTTCCACAGGTTTGTTTGTTGTCTCTTTATATTCTGCTTTGATTACTTGGACTATTAGAAAAGTTACATGATGCAAATGTGCTTGCTGGAGAAGAAGTTTGGGAACACGTGAAGCTTCTGCAGGACATATTGAAAGAAAGTAGAATTCTGAGCCAAGGAGCAGGAGAGATTTTGTATCTGTCCCAAATATTTTAAAAATATTCCTGCTGCTTTATGGGCTGTAAAGGCTATTGTTGAAATTTGTGATTGTACTCAGTAAATCAGTGCATGCTTTCAGATAATCATTACAAAATTATATTTTCCTCCAAAAGAAAATAAAAAATCAAAGGAGCAGCACATTTTTCCCAAGATTCTGCACAGCAGTGTCTAAGATTAAACAGGTCATATACATGGATTCATTTTGAAGAACGTTGGTCTACTGATGAATTTACTTTCAGAAGTTCACCCAGTTATATTTTGTACTCATAATAATCACAGTTCCTAAGACCTTTTACTTGGCAAAGATGTCAGCGTTCAGTCAATGCAGTGCAATACTCCTGCATAATTCTCTCTAAATATTGCTTTTCTGCTATGTTTTTTAGATCTCTCTGTGTGGTAGCTGTTAAAAAATGCTCACAAATACATATTTTGCTTTGTGTATTCAGAGCTTGAGCCTTCTTTCTGTCTAAACTACTGTATGTAATTGTAAGTGTTACATCATGTTTGTCCATTTTCATCAGAGTCAGAGATATTTTTGTAGAATGTGCTATAAAAATGACTTTAAAGCATGCTGTGTTTTTTTTTCCTCTCATGATTTGGAGATTTCAGAAGGCTTGGATTGGGTGGTTTCTGTTTTATAGGGATTGAAGACTATTTTTTTTAAGAAGAAAGTCTTAGGAAAGTATAGCAAATGTAGTTCTATCCCTCTATAAAAACATGGTTTTCTCTTTTTTGTAAATATTCAGCATGTTCAGAAGCTAAGCTGTTCCTCTTCCTGTTGATTTCTTCTAGTAAAAAATTGTAGCTGGTTTCTGGTTGCTACAGATACAGACAAGACTAATACTTTGGGGTTTTGTAAGGTTAAACTTTAAATTTCCACTCTTATTGTAACATGTCACTTCAGAAATTGTGACTGTGATGGTAAAAGTTATTAAAATTGGAGGGCTCATTTTTATAGCTTTTTTTTTTCTTTTGGTAAAACCTCTGTTATGCAGACAAAGTCTGTTACTGATGTTTTAATGGATGTTTCTCTAAGTTCTTGGGGTTCGTCTTCAAGATACTCATATCTAGCTGTAAATACTATTCATATAATTTTATTGTATCATGGAAGTGTGATATAAGGTTTGTCACATCATTGAATTTAAGTATTTGAATTCTAACATGGTGTCCTCTCTTTCCTTCTTCCCTTTGTGTCTGTATTAGGGGTTGATATAGAGGCAGCTCGAAAAGAAGAAGAGCGAATAATGCTTAGAGATGCACGACAGTGGCTCAACAGTGGCCATATAAATGATGTCAGGCACGCAAAATCTGGTGGTACAGCACTTCATGTTGCTGCTGCTAAGGGCTATACAGAAGTCTTAAAGTAAGTGTGATTTAAATGGAAATTTTTGATTGTCGAGATATTGCAGCTTGGAATTGACACAGTAGGATGTATCTGTCTTCTGAGGGTTGTAAATTTGGAAATTACAGTCTCTAGAACTGCCTTTTCCTCAAAGCTTGATTTAATGTTTTCAAGTACTCATAAATGCTTTTAGTTTTCCAGATGTCATTCAAAATGTGAACTGAATGTACATGATGAGCCTTAGTGCTCAGAAAGGAAGCTGACAAAAAATCTTTACCCGTTTCTAAAGCCAACTGTGTAAACAAGTTTAATATCTTTTTATAATGCCAGCTAGCATTCTAGTTAAAGAGTATTTTCAAGATGCCTGGGTTAATTTGGATACACAGCAGAATCCATGTTCTAGACTAAAGGCTTTCAGACCTAAAAAAATAAAGAATTTAATTGTGCTGTTTTCGAGGTCGTTGAAGATCATGACTCTTGAAGTCATTCATGGAAGGCTTTTGGTGTCCCTCTGATTCACAGATAGCTTTTCAGTAATATAGTATAGCACAGATTATATGCAGTAATGGAGGTTTCATTTCAGCTTTTATTGAAGTAGAAGAACACCATACTTGATAATGCATTGCTTTACTGTGATTATAAATATATTTGACTGTTTTGGCAGGACTAGTAATAGTTACACATTGTAAAAAATGAATGAAAAAGAGTACACACTGTGTAAGTATAGCTAACATTAAGATTTGTAAAGCTTTGTCAATGCCATAGTTGACTGCCAGAACTTTTTTAGATGTTACAGGTGATTTAGCGAATAGGAGAATAAACTGGATGCCTCATCATGATAAAAAGAAGTAATTCTATTGGAAAGAATATTTTTTATTTTACAGTAGTGTGCATCTGTAAGAGATTTATATTTATAATTGTTGGGCTTATTTTTAACCTTTGTCAGTGTCTTTTCTGTAGTCCAGTCCATGTACTTATTCTAGGAGGAGAGAAAACACACCCAGACAATTTTCTTGATGGTTTCAAAATAGCAGAAATGTGCTCTGTGAAGGATACAAGGCTGCAAGGCTTTGTGTGGAAGTTGTGGTAGTTATTACTTTAAGTATATTGTCTATTGAGTTACGAATAGAATTTTTTTAGAAGAACACGTCAAGGTTATGTGATTTTTATTAAGTGTAGGGTGTGTTTCAGAGAACTGAAGACCATTTACACAAACTGTTTGTCAGGTTGAGTGCCTGTTGTCACTTCAACACTCACTTCAGAGCTATACCAAATTCATGTGTTAAATGCATACTGAAAAGCAGATCCCCCATTTGAGGAGTTCTGCTGCTACTCAGAAAACAACTGAAGCGTGTAAACATTAGGTTGTTACAGCATCAAATGTTAGTGGCAGGAGATGCAAGCTTCAAGCAACTACTATTAGAAGAAAAGGAAGTTTTAATAATTTACTATATAAGAACTCACTAGCAATTTTTGACACTTCACATTCCTTGAAAAGGCTTCTTTGCCATTGCTGCACATATAGAGAAAAATACCTACCATATAGGCAGAATGGAATTTGAATGAGAAAGAAATAAAAAACAGAAAAGGATTTTTTTTTCTTGAATTTTCATTAAAAGTAAATATGATGAACACAGGTATTTCTGGGAGGAAATAAAATTAATCAATTGACATTAATTCAACTAAAATATGTATAGTTTATGAGAAAGGAGAAAGGTACTGCTGTCCAATAATTCCATCATTTTACAGCATTTACTATCTCTCTCAGCACAGTCAAGAACTAATTCTCTGAATTTCTTTAGGCTTTTAATACAGGCTCGCTATGATGTAAATATTAAAGATTATGATGGCTGGACACCACTTCATGCTGCTGCTCACTGGGGTAAAGAAGAAGCATGTCGCATTTTAGTGGAAAACCTTTGTGATATGGAGGCTGTCAACAAAGTGGTAGGATTTTTATGTAATCCTTGTCAAGATACAAAGTTCTGGTCTCTAAAGTGACTTTAGAAGCCAGGGTAAGAGAAGTGATGATAAACTGCTGTTTACTGTACATGGAGCTTTATATAATGCATGTTTTGTCAAAACAGCATGTTTGTGTCCATAACTAAATTCCCTGACTGTCCAAATTGGTTTCAAGACCTACTTTATACTCATTTCTATATCATATGATCCATGGAATCTTTTACAGTGAAATTCAAAATAGCTTTATTGATATTTCAGACTTAAGAAATTAGTGACTAGATAGACTGCAAACAGGCAGTCAGCATTTGTTTGCCAAAGACAACTATGATGCTTTTGGGTAGCGTTGGGCATTAGCATTTGCTTTTAACTCCTAAAATCAGCTTGTGTTGAAATACTGATGAGAAATCACTGTGCTGGTTTGGAGGTACTCTTAGAAACTTTTAGGCATCTGTGGACTGCCTGGACATAACTTGGATGCTACCTAAGTTGTATTTCCTTGACTTGTGCACAAAGGCCTGTCAAGTTTTTGGCTTTGCAAGACCTTGCTCCCAACAGGTACAAGTATACTGATGATTCACATAGGTGTCACAAGGAGCCAAGACTCTTTGTTCAACTGTGTAAGTGCTGAGGCTCCCTTTTTTCTCTTTGCATCACATTCTACAGCTAGATTCTGATCTGCTTTTCAGTTTCTAGCAATATTGTGTATGTAGATTTCCTGCCCAACCTTTAGCATGGTTTCTTCACTGAATTTTCATTTTTTAAGTTTTTAAGTTTCTTTTTAAGTTAATTAGGGAAATAGGCACATACAGACTCTTAATTAGATAATGAATTTGCCAGTATTTATATAAAAACAAAGTTAAGATTGCTAATAATAAAATAAATCTGGAATTTATGTTTCAAGTAGTATAACTCTGTTTCTATATAATACTTATAGAACTTCTTGAGATCAGCTATATGATTGTATCAGGTAGTCAGAAGTGCTTGTAGTGGTTGGCGACCCTGCCTGTGGCAGGAGGGTTGAAACAAGATGATCATTATGGTCCTTTTCAACCCAGACCATTCTATGATTCTATGAAAAGCTGATGCAATTAGTTGAAGCCAGTTTATCGAGTTATCTGCTAGACATAAAATGTCAGGGTTAACAGGGTTCATGAGAATGTGAGGGGTGGTATTCCTGAGAACACTCATAAAAATGTATTCAGCTCAACTGAGGCAAGAATAAGAAGAAAGGAGCTACAGAGAGTTAGGAATTGTTTATTTGGGGCATAGACTTGTCTGTGCAAGCTAAGAGTGTTTTGCCTGTTAAGTTCTTCAGTAAGCCATTAAGTGATTTTGCTTGTAGAGACTGAGAACTCCACTACATCTGGTTTCAGTTGTAGGTGCTTAGCTCCACAGAGAACTCAGCCATTATTGTTCAGGCACTTAACTTCAGGTATTAATATCTGTGTAGTGAGTTTAGATACATCCTTCCAACTACAAAAGGGTTGTTTTGTTTTTTCAAAATTATGTTTTGTGGTCAAAGTAGGTCTACTGTGATGGTTTTTTGGAAATAAACCCACTTAATAGCTGCCTAAAAGTAGAAAGCCAGATAAAACCTGTGATCATGATGCAAATATAAATTATAGATAATTTTGTTGTTTAGTTTCCAAGTTAGTGCTGTGCTATGTTTAATGGAATAGTTCACGTCAGAGGACCTCACGCTTTTTTGGGTAATGTTTGTTGGAAGGAGCATGTGCTCCTGGTGTATGATCAGAAGCTTTATGTTTGTGAAAAATTAGTGACTTAAAAGGTCTGTTCTTTCTAACCACTTAAGACAGCGTTCACAATCCAATCAGTAGCATGTTCGTCTGTAGTTAATGTTCTGCTAGAATTAAATAAGCAGTGAGACAAATATGAACACCTTTTGTTGTCTTTCTCATCTGTTGTGACCACTTTAAATTGGCAACTCTGTGGTTATTGTACAAAAGCATTTATATTACTGATCTTGTAATCCCACCACACTTCAGCATGTCCTCCCAACATGCTGATGCATCTGTATTTGTACCCATTGCCGTAGGCCTAAATTCTAAACTAACCCTAAATGCAAACTTCCAAGTAGAAAACATTGTACTGTAGTATCAAAGCAAGTAAGTTAGGCTTTCTTTGTGAAACTGTGAGAGCTTCAGTCTTTCTTGTCTTCTTCAAACAGAGAAGTAAGAAATTTGCAACCTTTATCAATTCAAATCTTAAAGATAGTATCTCGTGTCCTGTGGGCATCTGGTCTAATCAAGAATTGTACTGACCATGTAGTTATGTAAGATACATCAAGGAGAAGAAATTCCAGCTGATGGCATTATTCTCTAATAGTGAATGTTTATTCAAGCATCTTCCATGAAAATCACCCACAGAAGGGAATGAGAACAAACAACGGTAGCAGATCATTTCCAAAATGGAACAGGACATGTAAATACAGTTCTAAAGTAAAAATACGGAAGTGCAACCATTGAAATGCAGTACGGTTTACTTAAATAATTTAAATAATTTACTTAAATAATTTTAAAAAATCAACCACACTTGGTAGTCTGAAGATGGACAGGATGCTAACTGGTTTGTGTTGATCCAAACAATTGCCATTGGAATAGCTGTTTGGAACTAATATTGTGTATTTCATTCTTTCAATCGGTTTGTTGTTTTTTTTTCCTTAATAGGGTTGTTTTTTTTTTCCCTTGAAAAGACAATAACATTCTATTGAAGTCATGTTTTTCTGTCTTAAAAAGTGTTTAGTCGTTAGCATTAGGTATAGATGTTTCTTTTTCAATTACAAAAGAATAAGTAATATTACAAAATTGTTTTCAATCACTGACAGACTAACAGTTTGTAATAAAGCTTGGCTTATATGTTCTAATTTCTCAGAATGATTGTGCTCCTTACCCACAACATCAATGGGATAAGGCATCATAATCTGTTGCACTGAAATTCTGTTGTACAAAATGGTGTTTCACTTTTCCTTTTCTCCAGGGGCAGACAGCATTTGATGTGGCAGATGAGGATATTCTAGGATATTTAGAAGAATTACAAAAGAAGCAAAATCTGGTAGGCCTTTTTCATGTGTATAAATAATATTTTATTATGCATATGATGATATTTCATAGTTAGCTCAAAATAACACATAGATTAAAATTAAAGTTTTGATTTGAGGCTTCAACTCCAATAATGCCAGCTGTCATCTCAACTGTCTTTCCATGCCATTATTTGGTCAGTTATGGTGACCATAAAGCCCTGGATTAGAGAAAATCCTTACTTATTTGCCTTCTCCAGTAGGTATTTTATGATCTCAAGCAGTAGCAATCAACCAGCAGTTTCTTAGAAATAACAGATTCTGAGATATTAGAATTTTGAAGTTTATATACTTCAGTGTTCTCAGTAGTTGAGGGCTCTCTGCTAGTGATTTTGTCACATAGATGCCATTCTATCAGTTTAACTGCATTATTCTATTTGTTTTGAAGCTTCATAGTGAAAAACGTGAAAAGAAATCTCCCCTAATTGAATCCACAGCCAACTTGGATAATAACCAGACACAGAAAACATTTAAAAAGTAAGTAAACCAGGGAAATGATGAGCTCTTAATGAAAAATGTAATTTCACCAGCTGTCACAATGTCCTACCTGGACATTGTTTTAGTAATTTTTTCAGTACTTAGGAAGTATTTTTCTTTCCAAATTCAGTAAAGAGACATTGATTATGGAGCAAGAAAAGAATGCATCTAGTATAGAGTCTCTGGAGCAGGAGAAAGCAGATGAAGAGGAAGAGGGAAAGAAGGATGAATCCAGTTGTTCCAGTGAAGAAGAAGAAGATGATGACTCAGAATCTGAAGCGGAGACAGGTATGTTATTTGGCTATTGTATTCAAGTTTTTGCTTTAGAAATTTATTTAGGATCACAGGATGGAGAGTCAAATATATTAAGTTTCACTTCTGCATTTCACTAAGCTTCCAATCACTTTAAAGGATATTTATGTACGACTAAATTCAAGTCATAACACAGATACAAAGGTGCCTTTATTAGTGGCGTTCATGGTTAAAGGAGTTAATCTACTTATTTGATTGTCTATTTAGCAACTAATTTTAATTAATTATATGGAATGTATAAGCCTTAAGTAGCATGTCAAAAAAACATTGAAGAAGTTAAAAGGTCAGAGGAGAGCTGAAGTCTTTGTTAGCAGTGTTTCCTCATGGACTTGGCATAGAGATTGAAACAGCAGATACACAAGCATTCTCATTTGTGCTTACCATCCTGAAGTAAATACCAATGGATATGGCAATTGTAGATATTCATAAAGTGCTGGTGTATATACTTACTATTGATTATGGATCAAGATTAGGATGATCATTATATCCATGTATTCTTATTTCATTGTTCTTGCTATCCAGATTTATGAGCACTTCCTATAATTATTACTGAATATAGAAAAGTACCCTTGTGTATACATTTATTCCTTCTACTGTTATTCCTTCTTATTTGTCCCATATTTTGTCTTCTGTTGCTTGTCTTGTCACATGTATTGTTTTTCACTGATTGCTGTGGTGACTGATTAAGTGTACATGAAATTTACTATGAAGTTACAGGCACAGTCATTCAGTACAGCATCTCTTGGTCAACAGTTTGCTCTTCAGTGGAATTTAGCTTGCTTTTTTTTTTCTTGAAGGATTTTCAGAGTCTTAAAGCAAATAACAATGTAAGAACAGCACAGCAATCTTTTCTTTCAAATTAGAAGACAAATATCAAGTAGGCAGTGTTTCTAAAGATAACTATTCAATCCTAATGAAAGGGTTCAGAATTACAGTTCAGTAATACAATACACAGAAGTGGATGTCATTAGAAGTGTCTTGCTAATATTTTATATTTATGCTTTTTAAAGTGAGTAAACCTATTTGGTGAGCTGTCAGTTCTATTTTAAAGCATTTTATTCTAGTGTATTGACTTGAAATGCTGAGGTTAAAAGGGGATTTTAGAGCTAATAAATGTATCATAAATATCTTATCCAGGCAGAAATAAAAATAAAATATGAAATCAAAATAGCTGTTTTCTTGGAGTTTTTTAAGGTTTTTTATTTATTTTTTTTGTAAGCTAACATTTCATTAAGCAGGAACAAAAGTTTGTCACATTTTTAAATTATTCTCTCACCTCGTATAGTTGCATCTCTTATTTACAGAGACTGAGCTTGGACAAACGCAGAACACTTGTGCTACATAACATGTAGTACTTTCTCAGTCAGTGAACTAACTGTAACATCTCCTGAACTTTCTGATTCTGGTAACTGTGTTCTCTTCGTTTCCAGTGGACAGTTTGTGCCAGGAAAATTTGACTGTGACACAAGAATTAATTTATGTAAACTTTGGGGTTTTTAATATCAACAAGGCTTTATCATACTTTATTTGGCAAGCTGGACTTTAAGCTTTTCCCTGCAGAACTGCATCTCTCAGTTTCAAGCTTGTGCTTTCCCTTTTTTCTCATTTTTTACCTTAAGGTGGTTTTCTCGTGAAAAATCTTAAGCTTATGAAGAGCATTTTGGTTGTAGAATGTTTTAACGTTAAAATACTACATTTTGAAAATTATAACATTGTTAACAATGTTCTGAAGTACTGTAAACTGTCTGATTTCTAATCTGTTAGTAAATTCAAAATGTTTTCCTAAAACTTCCATTCTGAGAGTACAGCTTAAAAATAAATGTGTTTCTGTAAGATGAAGCAGTGAAATATGATTACAAAACTAAAAAGATAAGGAAACAAACTAAAAATCAAAACTTTCATCAGTTCAGTTTTTAAGCTTACTTTCTTTGAGATAATTCTGTATTTTTTTGAAAATTACTCTTAGCTCAGCAATGCGTGTTCTGTCTGTCCTTGCAACAATTTCAGAATACAGATGGAAAAAATCCATTTTTTCCATCTTTTCCTCTCACTCCTGATAATTTTTTCTGTATATTATTAAGCTGTATTATTTTCTTGCAAATTTCCAGATCCGTCTGTGCATCTGTAAAGCTTTTTCACTTTCTACTGTCAGCCTGCATTGCTCTGTGGAACGTTCCTCTTGTGTTTAAAAAGAGCTTTCTCTTAAGTGTAATTAGTCATGTAAGTTATTCACTGCTCAGTATTGAATGGGTAATGTAGAAATGAAGGCATGTTTATAGGAGGGGCAAAATCAGAGGAGACTGATCCCCTGTTGCTCAGCACTGCAGAAATAAGATGTAGCAAGAAATTCCAAAGAATTTACAGTTTGAATATGTGAAACAAATGAGGCGTAAGATTATGCAGCGCGAGCAAGTGCAGTGACAACAGTTGTGCAGTAACCCGGACATTATCTGTGTGTTTACTTAAGAGGAGTTAAGGTATGCAGTGGAAGAAATACTGGGCCAGAAGGACAACCAGAAGAGGTTAGACTAGTCAGACAGTGAAACTTAGGTGGGAAAAACAAGAGACAAAGAAGGAAAAAAGCAAATTGAAGTCAGAGTTCTTGTTGTTTCTCAGAGGAACAGCAGGTTCCTGTCTCAGCTAAATTCTGCTGTCCATAGTCCCTGGCTGGATTCTCCATGCAGTCAAATATTTCTTTATACTCCGTATACACAGTTATCCAGGAATAAATGTTTTACTTTGAATTGGCATTTTCTATAGTTCAAGTTAACTATTATATGCCAGTGTACCTTCCACTGTTTAATTTTAGGGTCGTTAACCAAAGGCTAAAGTGTAGTCTGCCTAGAGAAGTTGTAGGACCTCAATCTCTGGGTGTTTTCAAGGCCTGACTCATCAAAGCCCTGAGCAGCCTGGGTTGTATGTAATGTTGACTCTGCAGGAGGTTGCATTAGGTGACCTGCTGAGCTCACTTTCAATCTGAACTAGTCTGTGATTCTGTCACTGCATCTCTGAGTCTTTCTGAATAAATGACAAAAATAAGTAAAATATTATATGCATGAATGTCATGGAAAAAAAGGTCAATTTAACTATGATACAGATTGAGAAGGATAGGGAAAATGCTGAGAAATAAATAATAAAGCACTGTTGGGAAAGTTGACCGTTACATTTGTTCAAAACAAGTTCAAGTCTTTGTTGTAGAAATAAGGAACTTATGAATGACAGATTAAAAATGAAAATGAAAATCTTGTATATGTTTTTCAGATAAGACCAAAACCTTGGCTAATGCAAATACCACAAGTACACAGTCAGCATCGATGACTGCTTCAGTAGCTGGAGGTCAGGGGACACCCACATCACCTCTTAAGAAGGTAAAATAAAGTACTTGTCTTGTGATTTTACACATCTGTTTTCCTGTGGAAGCGTACATTTTTTGTTTTGAAATTGAATTGAGTTATCCAGTGAGCTAATGAAAACATGCCAATTTATAATACTGTTTGTTTTTTTTCCTGCAGAAGCTATGTTCAATTTTCATAAATTTTGAAATTCGAATGAACAGTTTTGATTTGAAACAGGAATCCAGGAATCTGAAATATGTAGCTACAACATAGCTAAACACAAGACCCATTTAAAAAAGAAAAAATCTGTTGTACAGTAACTGGAATTCTTGTTTTTCTGAAGCTAAACTTAATCTCTCAAAAATCTTTTTTATGCCAGACTCCTCCTAAAGTTTTAGAACTGTTGGTCTTAAGGTAAGGGAGCCATGCACGACTAAGGTACTTTGGGGTCCTTAATAGCATTCAGCTAGAAGTTGAAAATTGATAAGCACAGAAATTTGAAATAATGTGTGAAGTAAGAAGTAGAAAGTATTGTAGGTTCCAACACTGATTTCAGTATGGTTAGGATCTAATGGAAGAACTGGAACATTGGGACTCATGATTTATTCAGTGCAAATAACCTCACCAGCACAAAAACACACCCAGCAAAGCCATACTACTTATAGGAAGCTTGATTTAAAAAATTGATTGGAACAAATCTGAATTTTGCTTGTCAAAGGAGAGGTATATATGACGAAGAAAAAGAACTACAGTCACAATTATATACAGTCACAAGATGATATACAAGTCAAACATTTATACTATATGAGCAAACTGGATAGCAAGCTCGGAAGGCTTCCTTTGCTGTCTGTTAAAGGTTTTCTATGCATGTTGTAATCAAGGCTTAACCCTTTCCAGGTTCTTCTGGAAAGCTTGTTCAGGGGAAATAGTGACTGTGGTGCACTGAAGCCACAATAGAGAAGACATATGGCAGGGGGAATACTATGTATTGTATTTTTCAGCTCCCTGGAGCTAATTGAAGTTGTGCTTTCATAGGCATAACAGAACTTAATGATAATTCATCTTAGAAAGTGTTGGTTAGGACTTAATGGTCCTGACATTGGAGTCCAAAGAAGGGCAAAAGCTGTTGAAGGGTCTGGAGCACAAGTCTTCTGAGAAGTAGCCAAGGGAACTGGAATTTTTTAGTCTGGAGAAGAAGTAGTTCAGGGAAGACCTCTGCTCTACACCGCTACCTGAAGGGAGGTTGTAGCAAAGGGGGGAGGGTTGGTCTCTTTTTCTAGGTAACTTGCAATAGCACAAGAGGTAATGACCTTAAGTTGTGCCAGAGGAGGTTCAGGTTGGATATTAGGAGAAATTTCTTCTCTGAAAGAGCGGTAATGCATTGGAACAGACTGCTTAAGGAGGTGGTGGAGTCAACATTCCTGAAGTGTTTAAGGACAGGGTAGATGTAGTACTTAGGGACATGGTTTAGTGGACATGGTGGTGACGGGTTGACGGTTGGACTTGATGATCTTAATGGTCTTTTCCAACATTGTTGATTCTGTGACTCTATGTAAAAGATCCAAGCAGTGCATTTTAAAATGCCCAATTGCATCATATTCTGTGATACTGTACAATATGGTTGCACCAGCCTTCCTGATCTTAAAAGCTGCTTTGTAAAAATCATCACAAGTGACTTCTGCAAGATTTCTCTTAAAAAAGAGATAAGAGCAGAAGGTAATTGTGGCCATGGCTTCCTGGTAGAAATGACTGCTGTTTCCCCACTCTGAGCCTTTGCGTCTGGTCAAACAGCTAGATTCCAGAGTGACCTTGTTATGTTTGTCTAAACACTTTGCACTGGCTCAGTTAGTAATTATGGTTCTCTGTCATGGCAGCTGCATTTGGTGTGCTCAAGAGCTGCACAGAACTTGAGCCACAAGTTTTCTATGCAAACTACAGCAAATGGGGAGCTGGGGGAGAGAGAAGACTGAGTAATTTCTGCTTTACTACATGTGTGTAACTGTACAGAATGCAAACATATAACGTGAATTTAACTGCAAAGAGACAGTTCTATTTTATATGGTTTATTTTTTGAAGTCAGTTTAGTAATGCTAGCTGACAATTGTTCAGTTTAAGTGATACACTCTCCAGGCTTGGAATGTGGCTTCATATTCTAGAGTTGTACGATCAGTTAAGCAGAATTTTTCTGGTGTGTTTAAATGATGATGTATGAAAAAAAATTCAATGAGAAGTTAGTATGACTTTAAGCTAAGAACCTTTTGTAAATCATTAAGCATTTAGTTTGTTCTGATTTAATTATGCAATAATTAATGGCTTATCTTGTGTTTTTTTTGTTTTTTTGTCTAAAAGGTGAGAGGTGCAGGTTAAAAGTACACTGCAGTTGTCTTTCTAATATTTGATGTGAAAAACTCAGTGTCTTCTGTATTTCCAAAATAAATGCACATTTATATTGAGATTGATCATCTTGTAACATAGCATGCACTTGTGACCTGAAGAAGCTGTTGCAGCTCATGTCAATGAATGAAAATGATTTCAGATTTTTTGACTGAAAGAAGGTAAAACTTGTGCAGATACAAGTTGCCTTGAACCTAATCATGCATCTGCCTTTTCAGGCTTGCAACATCTGTACCACTGTGGTTACCTTTCTGATTTTACACCATAGATGGCCAAACCGTGTGTTGCTCACAAGTGCTGCAGATGCAGTGTACTAAACTTGAATTTGGGTTTTCTTCAATCTCTGTGGCATTCAGTAATGCTGCATTCTGTCTGAGGATACTAAACTTAGGCAAGTGTGCAAAGAAAGGTATGGGATTTGATAGCTAAGTTAGCATATGATTAGATTAAGGGATATGAATGGAATATGAAAGAAGATAAGAAGGGTAATGGGTATGTTAGTGTGAATCTTGAAATATTCTCCAGTATACCACGATTTAGGCATGAACCTTGTTAGGTCTAGAAGCTGTGCTATCCTCTCTTCTGCAAACCATAATTCCATTACTGAATTAGCTGAACATATTGTGTTGTGTTTAATAAGAATCTGTTACTGAAGTTTTAATTATCTTACTGCTTTTAGGTATTTCATGGTGTAACGAAGAGCTACATGCCATAAACATAGGAACAAACTGTGTGCTTTTGGAACTACCTTTTGTTTCTATTTTCCTTTCTTTCATCTTTGTCTTGTCTCAATTGGCTTTAGTATGATTTCATTCCTCCTATCATGCCTGTCGTGGAGTCAGTAGATCCTGCATCATGGAGGCAGGGCTTGCGCAAAACTGGCATTGTTCTTGTGCCCAATAAGGGTGAAAAGGCAATGGTGAGGTTCTGGTGTGCACAGGCTTGTGTACAGGTTGCAAAATAACATGTTTAATCAAATGTTGATAGCAGATTTGCATGGTTTTAACTTTGTATCTCATGATCACTGTGTGTATTACAAAGTGTGAGTTTTTCCAAGCTAACTTTTAGAGGAGTAGTACTCCTTGACCTGGTTTATGTTTCTTATCTCATTAACTAATAAGAGAGAAGATTGCCTAGGTTGTCTCTCACCGCAACTCCCCCATGTATTCAGTACTTCTGTGATTATTAAACGTAGTTGTGTTCTCAAATCTCTACAAGGAGCATGAATTACTACAGTTAATGCAAATTAATAGCCTGTTTGTGTTTTATAGTTTCCAACATCTACAACCAAGGTTTCTCCCAAAGAAGAAGAAAGGAAAGATGAATCTCCTGCTTCGTGGAGGTTAGGTCTTCGAAAAACTGGTAGTTACGGTGCACTTGCAGAAATTACTGCTTCTAAGGAAGCTCAGAAAGAAAAGGACTCTGCAGGTGTTATACGTTCTGCTTCAAGTCCTAGACTTTCCTCTTCATTGGACAACAAAGAAAAGGTAATTGTTTTCAGAGTGAAACCAGTGTTTTTACCGCACATTTATTCTGTAGTAAAATCCAAGCTGTTAAATTATACAGCTGTTGTGTAATCTCTTTAAAAGTACAGTATGCACCTTTACTGTCTTGTGACTTGGTACATAGGTGTGGGACTTATCTCTTTTAGGGACTTGCACTATCAGTAGTAGTTTTTTTTACAATTACAGAGATTTGAGGGTTGGCAGTTTTGGAATCACTTGGAGAATGATGTTGAAAGAATTTCTGAAAAAGAAAGCTCTCACTGAATTCTGTGGTCATTTTTTATTTATAAAATATTAATTGCATATTTAAACGCAAATATACTGTGGTGAAGGACTAATTTGGAACAGGTATCTGAACAACATATATTCCCTTTCAACCCAGGCCATTCTATTCATATGTTCCCTTTCAACCCAGGCCATACTATGATTCTATGTTTCTTTTTCAAGTACAAATGTTTAAATCCATTCTCAGGAATAATACTAAGCTATAGTATATAAAAATACTAAAATAGTTTCTTTCAGTAAGTAGTTTCCTGCTTTCCAGTAATACAGCTCTAAATGAGAAACCAAGTCACTTGCATTACTACCATGAAATCACAAACAGTTTCCATTTCGTGTTTTAATCCTTAAGATATTTAACTGAAACTTAAAACTCGCTTGTATAATTGAGTCACAGTAAATACAAACGAAGTTGCTGCAATGGTGATTTTCCAGCTAACAGATAGTATAATCAATAATACTAACACATTAAAAATCTATGTCTTTCAGGAGAAAGATGGAAAAGGAACTAGACTTGCCTATGTTGCACCTACAATACCAAGACGACTGGCCAGTACCTCTGACATTGATGAAAAAGAAAACAGGTGACTCTTACGTTACTGCTAAATATTAAATTACGTGATTTTAGAGTGGCTGAAAAACATACAGATACGAAGATCATTCTAGTTCTTAGCATTAACCTTTTTCATAGATTATGCTGACCTGTAGGATAATTGAATTCTGAAAGGCTTTTTGTCATTTAAGTCATGATAATCCCTTTTAAAATCCACATTATTTTGTGGCAGGAGCAGTTCTGGGCATTGAGTTGTCATCTTGGGGGAGAAAATAAAATTAAATGCAAAATAGTAAGTTGTAGAATTCCATCTAAAGAAGGATACAGAAGGAATTTTACTGCTTTGTCTTAAACCATGGAGTGCTGACATTGGGTTCCATTATTACTTTTGCAGAAAAAAAGAAACCATCCTCTTTCCTACAGTACTTGATTAAAACCATATCATTCAGCACCAGCAGTTTACAGAAATCCTAGCAGTTCTTTTGTAACTTCCACTTCTGTCTTTCTTGTTTGACTGTTGGTCTTTCATCATCTTTTGGAGATGCTTAATCCTTTACTAGTATTTTTTTCTTTAGCTTTTGGTATAAAGTGAATAAAAAGTTTAGGTGGAGAGGCTTGTCACTTATTGGGATTCAGACTACTTCCATGACATACCTTGTGAGAATCTTCTCAGTTTTCACTTCTCTCCTTTCTTAAGATTCTACTTGGCTACTTTCTTGAGTTTTAATATAGAATGCTTAGTATAAAGCAGAGAAATCTCCTTAATGCCTTGTTTCTGTCAGATTGTATCTAGACAGCCAAATTTTGAATAACTTAAAAGCGGAAGTACCTCTCATTGATCAAAATGTGCTACTGTAATCATTGTATCTAAAGCTGACTAACCTGTTTTTGAAGTGGAGTATTTCTGTTGATATACTTGAGAATAGCTCAGGTGAGAGCAAGCGCAAGATGCATTGTTTTTTCTTATGTTTGTGGAATACTGTTGGCTAAGTTCAGTCTCTGAGTGACAAATTCTGTTCTGAAACAGGTATTCCAGATCTCATGCTCCCTTAAAGTTCACCGTACTATGTTGTCATCTGTTGTGTTACTTGACCATTTTTTCAAATCTGTATTTCTGTTAGCACTGCAGTTTGGGGTTTCTATTGTCAGTCTCTGAGAGTACTATATTCTTATTTGAGGTTGAATTTATTAGTTCTGATTTGATTATAACAGATTGTTCTTATTTCAAGTTTTATTCTTTTGCGATTTTCTCAAATACTCTCACTATTCAAAAATGTCTTGGCAAGATGATACCTTAAGTTTGGGATAGATATTTAATTGCAATCATATTTCTTCTAAACTTTGATTGATTGTCAAAAATAGATTAAATTTTGGTGCAGTGTTGAGGTATATTTGTCTCCTTGGTATACCAGTCTTAACTATCATGACTTATTCACAGACCAAGTTCTGAAAGTGCTTACCAGCTTTGTCATGTTTCTCCTGATATGCTTGACCAGAGATCAGCAATGTCATTAGACCTGGTGTTGACTGAACAGTTGACCTGAGAACTTTCTATATTCCTTGATGTACAAGTGATAAAGCATGGTTTTAGGCCATCTTTTTTAGGCACCTGTACCTCGCCTAGTGTATGTTATGACGGACAATTCAACTTACTTAAAGTCATGAAAGAATTTTGACACTTAGTCTGACCTCTCTTACATGTGGGATTTAACTATCTGCCCTACAGGTGCATTAATTAATTACTAAGAGTTCTGCCTTGTCCCAAATCTCTATCCTTGTTGCTTAGCTTAATGTCTTGTTCTTGTTCCACCTGTCTGAACAACTGCTTGTCTAGATAATAGATGATGTAATGCAATCCATCTTACTTCCTTCTGTGCCTAATCGAAAGGACTTCCAGATTTTCAAGATTTATCTCAGCTGGGCCTTTATGGTGCTTGAAGTGGTCTGTATTGACTAGAATTTGATTCTTTTCTGTATGCTAGCATACATTTTTGTGCAAAAGGATATATTTGGAATAGAATCTGAAGTCCAAAGGTATCTTGAACATAAAACACATCTTGAAGGATTTTACTTTCACTCACATATGATTGTCTTTTGTACTTTTGTGCAAGATGTTTCTTTCTTCCATCTGAACTTCAAACCTCGTGTTTTTGTTAGAAGCTTTTGATAGAAGTTCAAATTCTTGTATCTCTGCATCAGTCTTCAGAGTTTTTCCAAGAAGATTTTTGCTAGGCTATTTCTTGATGCTATAAACTGCAACAATAGAATAGAAATTCTTTATGACTAAAGTAATGTCAGCTAGTGATATATGGCAGGCCACTCAGGAATGGCTACTGCAGGCCTATTTACACTAGTCTAAGTATCGTGAGTTCTAACATGCATAATCTCATGAAATCAGCTTCTAAAACAAGTAGTTTTCCCTTGGTGGCACTGAATTGTCTCAGCCAATAAAGAAGCATCTTGCTCCTTTTTAGAGTGAAACAAAGCCAGCACTGGTCACAGATAAAAGCTGACGTTTGACTTCTTTAAGTTTTTCTTCTGATACTTCTTTTCAATTCAATTTCAAACAGTGTTAATACGGATGTTATTTTTTGACAGAAATTTGAAAATTATTGTGAATAACAGGTCATTTTATTCTTTTTCTCTACAGTTATGTTTATTTTAAGTGTGTTTTCCACACACAATTTTTTCATCTTTAACTTAAAAATCATTTGCAACTCTCATCAAAACCAACTTGCTTTAATGTGAATTTGCTAAAACAAAATCTTATTTACAGGGACTCGTCTGCTAGCTCAATACGTAGTGGCAGTTCCTATGCAAGGAGAAAATGGGAGGAAGATGTCAAGAAAAACAGTTTGAATGAAGGTCCTACATCCTTAAACACAAGTTATCAAAGAAGGTGTGGGATTTTCTCTTGTCTTTCTTTGATCAAATGAGATTTCAGATTGAAAAAAAAAAATCATTTCTGAATCCTTTATTTGAACAATCATACCTTAAAATATAATAAAATGGTGTTCATGGTAATTGCAAAGTATGTACTGAAGGCATACTATTTTCACCAGCTTAGAGCATTAGATCAAATGCCACGTAGGTTGCTCTGAAAGAAATGCCTCCTATTTATTTCCATGAAAACAACAGCAGTTACGAAGAGCACAATAACACTATTCAATAGAGCAAATTATCAGCTACAAGACATTATTTTTTAGGGTAGCCACCACCATTAGCTATACATCTTTGCCAGTGGTGAACAAGAGCCTGCATGCCATGCTCATAAAAATTTGCACCAGCGGAGGTAAACAGTGTTGCTGTTGCCACTGCTGAAGTGCACCACCCACTGCCTCACTGTGCTCACATCCACTGCTTGGTCTCCATTAACATTCAGAAGCATTGATGAGTGTCAATGGATGCCATTTTTTCTGCATGGAGAAAACCATCTTTGCCACATCTTTGCTTCAGACTGCCCTTCTGCTGCCATCAGTCACACAGCAACAACATGGAATGGGATATTGGTGGGAAGGTTCCACCTCTCCTTTCATACCACCAACATCTGCCACTAATGTTGTGGGCCAGCGGAATAAAATAGTAGGTATTACTTTTGGAGCAGCCCTCGTATACAAAGTTATATGCTTTCTTTTTCATATTGTTTATTTTGAGGTTCTTTTGACTCTTTCCAGATTTTTTTAGTAGCCAGAGATAACAGTTTTAACTGCAGGAGCAGAAGCAGTTCTCCCTCATATCTGAAAAGAGAAGTGTTGAATTCTGTTTTTACATGAAGATGTCAGAGGTCTTGGGCTGCTGTCCATAGCAGTAGATTATAGCCACACCTACTTTGAGTACTACCATAATAGAGTGTGTATGTAAAACTAAAACTAAGTGGTGATGGATATGAAAATAATTTCCACTTGTACACAGTTCCTATCTCACAGGATTATTTTGGAAGAGATCGTATCCAGCAGTTATATACGTGATTAACTTTACTCCACTGTGTAGTTTCAGTGGCAGATATTTAAGTGAAATTCATTTATTTTAATGGAGTGAACAATAAATATCTAAGCAAATAGATCAAAAAGAAGAGTTTGACATTCAGGTAGCTATGTTATGTACTTGTATGTGCTGGTGATGTAAGTGGTGACAGATGCTTAACTTCTTTCTTTCAGTTGTGCCATTGATGTTTTTAGTGGCGTGCAGTCAGTCTGTTTCATACAGCATAATACATCTTCTGTCTTCATTAACCTCTAATCTTAAAATTATAACAAAGTTTTCTTAACTTTGAGTTTAGGAAAACTGTTGCACAGATTTCATGTTCTGGAGGTGAAATATTAACCATTTGGTTTATGAAAACAGTCTTTGCATGTTAATCTTCATCAGTTTTAATGTTCCAGACTTCAAATGCAATGTGCTCATCACTTCTGTATGATATGTAGTGCTTTCACTATAGATTCTCTTAGTTTTTCTTGTACAGATATTTTTTCCTTTTTCATTTTAGACTTGATAGCAACAGAAAGAAAGATCAGCAGAAGAATGACAAATAGCCATCTTTCCTTGCCTTTTGTACTTAGTAATGTGATGTTCTGTCTTAACTGTCTTAACTTGTAGAGTTAACATATGAAGATATCCTACTTCATAATGCAAAGTATGTTCAGCCAGAACTAATGGATAAAAATGTGGAAACTGCTGCCATCTTTAAAACTAGAAGAGAAAGGGAAAAACATAAGTGGGAGATTAATTAAGAGTTTTGTTCTTTGCTTGTTTGTTTTAAAAAAAACACACATTTAAACTTTTGAAAATTGTTAGAGGAGTGGTATTGATTACGTTTTTTTTTCTAGCAAGCTGTGAAAAAATCTATATTTTCAATTTAAAATGGAACATGGGGGACTCTGTGTCAATATTTCAGTAGATGCAGTCAAGACAGTAACACATAAACCAGTGAAATGTCATTCCTTATCTTCTCTTCCTGTGGAGAAATGGTCAGGTCTGTTGCCTTCACAAGCCATAAGTTAAAAGTCATACTCCATGAAATAATGAAGAAAATCGCTTTGGAAAAATGCTTTCCTTCCCAGAAAGACTCAACTGGGACACAGAGTGGTCAGGCAGGAGTTTAATGGATTATTCACAGCTTTGTGATATTTTCTGAACAAAGAAAGATAAGTAATACAAATGTGTGAATTGTAAATGTCTCTCCTTCAGTGGCTCCTTTGGTAGAAGACAAGATGATTTGATTAGTTCTAATGTTCCAAGTACTGCATCAACAGTTACCTCTTCTGCTGGTCTTCAGAAAACACTGCCTACCAGCGCAAACACTACTACAAAGAGTACAACGGGTTCAACTTCAGCAGGTGTACAAAGCAGGTAGTGCCACCAGTGTACTTTTTACTGTTGTTTTTTTTTTGTCAGGTCTACTGTGTGCTTATGTACGTGCATGCGTTCTTGTTTCGTAGATCCTGGGGCTCTGGATTTTTTCACTTTCCTGTTCAATTTCTCTTATTTTTATACAATTTGGCTCAAATTGTGAATGGCTTTCTACTGTAAAGTGACAGCCATAGAATCATAGAATGGATCAGGTTGGAAAAGACCTGAAAGATCATAGAGTCCAACCGCAACCTGCCATGTTGATCTAAAAGAATAAATCCAATATTAGAAGGGTGAAGAGTTCAACTGTTGTGAACTTTTCATTTCCTAATTAAATCAATTTAATAGCTCAAGTTGAGCTTTCACCATAGAGACATTTCTCAGACTGCTTTTTTAAAAAATCCATCCCTCAATTTACATGTTATTAGTTGTTTAGTAAAGTGCTTTCATTGTTTAGCTGTTTCCTTTTCTCTTTTTTTGTGTTGCTACTTGTTATGCTGTAGTACCTCAAATCGTTTGTGGGCTGAGGATAGTACTGAGAAAGAAAAGGACAGTGTTCCTACAGCAGTGACGGTTCCTGTTGCACCATCTGTTGTAAATGCTGCGGCCACTACCACAGCCATGACTACAGCTACTTCTGGCACTGTGTCCTCAACATCAGAGGTCAGGGAGAGACGGAGGTGTGTAAAGGTCCTACGAGTAATGTTGCTCTTGTACAAAAGTAATCTTATTTTCTTATTTAAAGGAATGTGTTGCTTACCTCAATTTGGGATAGTACAATATGAAAAGCGGGGAGTGGTATTTGCTTGCTGTTCATTGAAACAACTAGCAACGTGCCTCAGTTTATCTGAGAACTTAGTACTGGTGGATCTCATCCATGAAACTTCACAGTTCAATTCTGTTTATTTTTTATTGTCTTTGGGTTCTCATTTGATATGCAGTAATGATTTATCTGCATTTTTTGTTAATAGATTACATGGATTTTCTTAAAAATACCTGTAATGGAGCTACATTAAAAACACTGAATTAAAAAAAAAAAAACAAGCAGTAATTTCTTACTTCGAGTACACTGCTGCTTTTTGAGCTATCGTGTCAAAGGCACTATGCTGACAAGTTACTGTGTGGCATTTTTTTTACCCGCTTCTGCCTGACACTACTGAGAAAGGAGTATTTAACTTCATTCATTTCATCCCATCATTTAGGATCTTCTCCATTTGAAACATAGTGTACAGATGTGTTTTCTTCTCCACCATGATTCAGGAAGTGCCCACGGGTGCCACAACCATTTTAAATAAAGCCATAAGACAGCAAAGTACACCAGTTTCAAAAAACAGTTCCAATTTTAAAATGCAAATGCTATTTCAGTATCAGATGAGCTAGAAAAGCAAGAAAAGTGTAGAACTAAGGCTTTCACTGTCTCGTTTGCTCTCACTTAGTGTATGTATACTAATGCGCGTATGCTACATACGTCTTAGATACCTGCAATCAGCCTGAAGTTCTCTGCTTCTAATCTGATTAATCAGTGCTGATTGTATAATATATCACTGTAGGTGCATTCTTGATGGCATATTAAAATAGCCATTAAATCTCAAAAGAAATCAGCAAAATTTGAATATTTACTGTGTGCATGTCGTACCCTAAGTATGTGCACATGCATATCTATCTGTATAAATACAGATACATATATCTCTCTGTTTGTACGTGTATCTATGTATGTTTATATGCACATGAGTAAGTTGTGTCTATTTATGAAATATTATATGCTAAATATTTTCTTAAGAAATGAAGTTGATTAATTCATATCTATAGACTGAAAGAGTGTTATTTGGAAAACATGTTTGAAGTAGCATTTCAAATAATATTTGAGAAGCAAACACATTTAGTGGAGATTTTAGTAATGGAATATGTAGTAACGCATCTTTTATGAATGTACTGAAGAAGTTACATTCTTTATCGAATTTTCAGGATTGCTTTAGAGAAACAGCAAAAAGAATGACGAATGTAAATCTGTAAGATCTTTATATTTTGAACAACACTGCATGACTGACCTGTGAATCATACATATGGAGGGCCAGTTTCCAGTGTGCACATGACAAGTATTGAGTTTTCATTTTCTTTCAGTGAGGTTTAAAGTTTTTCACTTCTTGGAGGATAGGAGTGTTACACCAATTACTACTGTATTTGCGGTATTTTTTGCAATAATTTGCAAATTTCCAAGCTCTAAATGTTATACCTACTCTGCAACCAGAATTATCTTAGGTAGGTTAAAGCTTGTGGCTAAATTATATATTGCCTAACTGTAAACTAGAGCCAGTGCAAACAGGATACATGTGACCAGTTGTATTTCAGGTTAGCTAAAGCAGCCAGCAGATACATTGTTCCTTATATAGATAGGGCTCAGGGATCTAGGGGAAAAGAAAACCTTACCAAAACTACCATTTGTAAAAGAACAAGATAGGGAAATCAATTAATATAGGTTTATTTGTTTTCGAAAGTGTCATAAGATATTTTACATATTTGAACATTCAACAGCTAATTATATATTTTTCTTTCCCTATTTTGGGGATACTTTGTTTAGTAGAGATAGAACGTTGTTAAGACACAGACATAATAACTTGTGTAAATAAAGTTTATTTCAAAAACTTAGAACTGTCTTTAGTATTTCCCAATCAGAGAACTATATAATTAGGTGATTGAATAACTACTCTTTCCATAGATTAATCTTCTAAGTGTTAATGGGTGATAGCTTCTCAAACAAAATATTTGAATCAGTAGCCAGTTTTTAAATAAAGAAATGCAGAAAATAGTATATAGACAATCAGAAAATATCATAGAATCTGAGTCTACAGTTTTTAACATAGTTAAAATTGATGATCTGAAGAAGCTCAGAGAGGTTTTGCACAGGATCTGTCTTTTGAATTGTCTAATGCAAGGATGATTCATGTGAAGACATGGTAATCACTTCCTCAAGGATTTTTAATCTCAGGTGCAGTGGATTGTTTCATTAGGTTTTCTGCCTCAGGAATACATTAGCTTTCTCTAAAGCCGTAACGTTATGTTAAAGGTTTACAAATGCATGCACACACAGACATATTTTGTGTGCAAATGTGTAACTGGCTGAGGTTTTTGAGGTCTTCTACCCCAATGTTAGTTGGCCAAAGTAGTTGTATTTAGATAAAAATAAATCTAAATTAAGTAGAAAAGCATATGTATTTTAATTTAATAGTTTTGAGGCCTGCAATCTTGATAAACAAGTGCTATGGATGAAATGCCTAAAATGTAATTCATCTCATACAGTCAAAGGTTTTCTCTAACTGCTTTGTTTTTGTCATACCATGTTGTGAGAATTGACCATTTGATGAATTTGTCTAAAAATTATCGTTTGCCAACTTGTTTGAACTTAATTCTTTAGATCATACCTCACTCCAGTACGGGATGAAGAGTCAGAGTCCCAAAGAAAAGCCAGATCCAGGCAAGCAAGACAGTCCAGAAGATCTACGCAGGTATAACTTTATTACAGCTTCTACATTTATGGAAACATAGAGCTCCAAAAGTACAGTGAAGTTTTAGTTTCCCGCTAAATTTCAAATAACCGATTGGTCTTCCAAACATAAATGACTTGTAACAGGTGAATATGTTCTATTTCCCTGCTTCTCCTGAAAGCTTGAGGAGCCCTTACTGTGTTTTGAAGGTAACTTTTTCTAATTAGCGAAGACAAACTTAATACAAGCTTGAAAACAGAGAAGCAGCCACTGAAAAGAAGGGTTTTTTTACATTATGTTAAAGTAGCTTACTGAAGGAGTTGTTTCTGACGTTATGTACAGTACTTTTAATTCTTCAAAAACTAAAAGCTTCTGTCTCAAGATTTTACTGAAGTATGTAGTTACATTTCCTTAAGTTTCAAAGGCTTCTTTATATAGACTGTCGAAGGTAATGTAATCAAGTTGACCAAACATATAGATAACTGATAGTATCAGTGGCGTAGAAAAACTACATTCAGCCTAGTTTCTGTGGACACAGAAGAGTACTAGAAAGAGTTCTTTGATACTTACTACTGATCTGAAATCTAACTCCTATCAGAGTTTCCCTCTCATGGCTTACCTAGTGATACATTTGCCAGAACTACTTCATACTGAATTGCAACCAGTGCAAACTTTGCATGGAAGAGGATGTCACATTAGCAAAAGAAATGATGTCTTAAGACTACTTGAACACTCTGTGAATATTGGAGCAATTATCAGCTACTGTCCTCTGTCAAGCATGTCTGCCCATCTCTCCTTTGTTCTGCTGTAAAAGAGTCCTTGTATAAAACAGAACAAAAAAATAGTCCAAATGGTATCCTGATCTGCATTAAGGTGAAATCTATAACTATGATTTACTGGTATTACTTTTTAATTTTAAAAGGCCTTTTTAATTTTAAACCCCTCAAATATTTCCGATAACTCTTCCTGTTGAGAGGTCCATGTTTGATATTAATCCAGTGCCTTCTAAGATTGTCAAACCACGGGCCACTCTGGATCTTTGCAGTGAAAAAGATGCAAGGAACTGCTGTATTAGAGCGTTATCAGCATAAAAAGCAATCAAATAGCTAATGAAATACAAAGTTGGCTTTGGAGAGTAGGTCAGGAGTGTTTTCATGCTGTTTGAGAACAGTGTCTCAGTGAGATATGTAAGGTGAAAATTAGAGTACAGAGACGTTTTCTTTAACTAGGAAGTCATTGGCCTTCTGAGCTCATTTGAAAATTAGTTTTTAACCTCAGAATAGCAAGGAAATAAGAAACGAGTTACATCTTTCTCTAGTGTTGTCAGTGTATTAAGCTTAAAAATCCACTTCCACTGAGTGAATTTGTAAAGCATCAGTATTTCTGAAAGAAGTTAAAGTCTTGTATTTGTAGGCTTTCCAAAATATTTATTATGCTTATGATGATATTGAAGAGATCTAGTGGATACTTCAGGGGTTTCTGCATGATTTTCTGCCTGATACTTATGTACTAATTCAACTAAAAGTGGTGTTATTGAAGACTCTATGGTAGATCACATTAGAGCAAACACTTGCTGTTAATCAGAAAGTGCATATCATTTCCAGGATTCACGAGAAAAGTTTATAGGTAAAATATGTAGATAATATAATTAACTTTCTTAAGCAGAATTTTGTATGTAAATAATATATGTATATAACGTGGTAATCTACATTTGCCCAAATTAAGTTATATACTGTACTATTTGCTGTTTTCACAGGGTGTAACACTGACAGATCTTCAAGAAGCTGAAAAAACTATAGGAAGAAGTCGTTCCACACGAACCAGAGAACAAGAAAATGAAGAGAAAGAAAAGGAAGAGAAAGAAAAGCAAGACAAAGAAAAACAAGAAGAAAAGAAAGAATCTGAAACTAAAGATGATGATTATAGACAAAGATATTCCCGAACTGTTGAAGAGGTATTTTCATGATGAGTCTCATTAGGTAGAGAAATTATATGAATCTTAACTCCAACAATAATACTACAATTTTGATATTATCACAAACAATTATTTATTTTTATTTAAAAGCTTTAATATCCTTTAGTTAATGTTTGTTTAATGTTTGTGAATTAATTTTGACATTTTTCTGCTGAATAGCCATATCATCGCTATAGACCAACTTCAACTTCAACTTCTTCGTCATCCACTTCTTCGCTCTCCACCTCCACTAGCTCTCTTTCAAGTTCAAGTCAGCTAAACAGACCAAACAGCCTTATAGGTATAACTTCTGCCTATTCTCGGAGTGGAACAAAGGAAAGTGAGAGAGGTAGGAGTACTAACGTTTGTGAAGGGTTTTTGTTGTTGTTGTTTTTAATTGCCAAAGGGCAGTTTATGTTTCTGAAGACTGTTCAAAATGGGGTGTGATCTGTGGACCACTGGGTGATACACGTTGCTCCTACTTCTGTAAGAAATTCCAAAACTTGTATACAGAGAGGAGAAAAAAGACTTTCAGGACTTGGTGATGTTTTTCAGTATTTTGTTATGTGAGTCTGGGTTGATTTCTGCTTTCACTCAGCAACTGTAATAAAATACCACAATTCAGAGTTTAAATATGTGCAGATATTGAAGAGGAATTGTTCTTGATTAAATAATTTCTAAATAATTTGGGTTTTGTTTTAGTCCTGTAGTGTTGGAGTGGAGCAATGCTGTAATGCTTTCTGAAAACAAAGGAGAGAGGAAGGATACCTCTGGTGTTAGTTAATAATACTTAACGGAACTATTCTTCTAAATTTCTGACTGGTTTATAAAATCTCACACTGATGCTTGATTCAGAGATAGAAGGATGCTTTTATTTGATGTCACAGAGCTTTTGCCCAGAGTTTTTTTCAAATCATCTGAATAATCTGTTAGAATTCTTAAAAACACTATGCTCGGTTGTCAGAGGAGGAGGCTGTTGACACATGTTGTGATCTCCTGTTTTCTCTTTGGTGTATGTCACTAATAACTTGGGAGAGATACTTTAACTCAAGCTATTGATTAGGTATGCAATTACCAACTGAAATTGATATTTTTGTTATAAAGAGGATCAGATCTTTGATTTATTGATAAAATCTTCATGAACTATGTAGCAGTATTGCTGTATTCTCTACACTGGTATTTTCTGAAGAAGTTATTATGACTAAGCTTTGTTGATAAGTTTTCTGATTTTTCCTCTCTGTTCTAAAATTAACTGAAAATTTGGAATAAGATTTTTAGGTAATGCATATGCATGCTTATTTCAGGCAATTTTTTCTGCATTGTTTTATGGAAAAGACTTTCATGACTAAATTCTAGCTAGCTACAGCAGGTTTTTTTTTCAAATTATGATTTTAGGAGGAGTATTACATTACTGTCTGAAAGACCAAAGGTAAAATCATCATTTATTTAATTAGGAAAGGTCTGTGTCCACCATGAATACTTATATTTTCTTCATTTTTTAATTCTTGCTTCATGTCGAAGTTTTCGTTTACCTCTGAAGAGCAGTTATGGTACAGTTAGATTGGTAGGGATGCATCAATCTGAACTCAACTCTATGGTTTATTTCTAATAAAAGAATAGCAAACTGAACAAACATCGTAACAGGTAAATAACTTCAATTTGGGCAGGTCTGTTTTCTTTATTTATTTTCTTTTTGTGCAAGTTGCTTCTAAACATAAAGGGGATCAAGCACTCCTCAGGTATTATGCCTGTTTTAAACTGCAATTGCATTTCATTTAAAGAAAAGGAAAGTCTGTAACATAGAATTAATTTAATCTTGGAGTTCTAATCTTCCTTAGATGGGAAAATGAAGAGGACAGTGATGAAAAAGGGAATTCTAGGGAAAAATTAACAGACTTTTGATTTTTTTTTTAATAAGGATTTTTTGATAAAAGCAAAAAAAATTGTTTGAAAAATAGTGTGAGGAATAATCTTCTACTGCTCTTTTGTACTTCCATACAACTACTGGCACAAATTTGAATTATTAGGTGAGAGATTTGAAAATTGCTTTTTTACGTATCTTACTGTTACACTAAAACATTTTGTTTAGGTGGCTGAGGTAGAGTTAGTACTTTGCCGTTGCTGTTCAACAGCTGGAACTGTATTTATTTTAGAGCTGTGTTCTGAGGAATTTATATTACAGCAAACACTTTTTATGGTAAGAAGTTCTATAGTGAATTTATTTCAGGTGCAAACATTACCCAGGTTCTTTTCAGCTGTGTCCAGCAACAGAACTGGGGGCAGCATGTACAAAGTGGAACATAGGAAGGTCATTACAAACATGAGGAAAATTTTCTTGAGGGTGACAGAGTGCTGGCACAAGCTGCCCAGAGGGCTGTTGGAGTCTCTGTTTCTGGAGAAATGCAAAACTCACCTGGATGCTTTTCTGTACAACCTGCTGTAGGGAACCTGATTTAGCAGGAGGTTGAACTAGATGATGTCCAGAGGTCCCCTCCATCTCCTGCTATTAGGCAACTGTGTGATTAACTGTAAACATTTTAAGAAATATTTCAGTAACTTTTCAGAAAATTGTGTTATACTTAAATGAACAAAAAGTTGTTATTAACAGAAGGGGGCAAAAAAGAGGAAGAAAAAGAAGAAGATAAGTCACAGCCCAAATCTATACGGGAAAGGCGGCGACCAAGAGAAAAACGACGATCTACAGGAGTTTCATTTTGGACTCAAGATGTAAGTGAAAGACTGCTACTTCTGGTTTGTAGCCTAAGTTTGTAGCAGTATAGAATGTGTATAGTGTGTTCTTAAAATAGAAAATAGTTTAGAACAGAATATACCACTAGCATTTTTGGCAAAAGTGGGCTTGCTCAAGTCATGCATTCTAAGTTTCTCTCTGTTGCGAAGCTTTAAGGAACAAATTAAATATGAAGTCTGTGCTGATAATGCTGAAAGAAATTTTAGGCTACTGTAGTAATTCTAATGTTAATCATAATCTTAAGAAAAAAATCATTGAGCAGTTACTTTCTATTGCATGCAAACCAAAGCAACGAGAATGAGATTCACTATCTAGCATGTTACAAATAGCTAAATTTGAACTGTGTTTACTAAAACCTGAAAGAACTGTTGCAAGATCTGAAGGGTCAGTTTTTCAGCAGATTCTCTTGCCCTTTCCTTTGTCATGGGATCGGTATTTTTGTAAAAGGAACATTTTTCTGTGCCAAATGCAAAGTTCTGATTCCTTTCCTGTTAGTACCGAAAATAATTATTGTTTGAGAATTTTAATCTTATATTCCAGATATGCTTTGTAGATTTTAGATAGGTAGAATTCTACCACTCATAGCTTTTGATACAAAAAATCTAGAATACATTAAATTTTCATAAAGTTTTCAACAGCTTAACTGTTTTTCCTCTCTCACCTCTTTCACCAGAGTGATGAAAATGAACAAGAGCACCAGTCTGATTCAGAAGAAGGAACAAATAAGAAAGAAACTCAGGTAATTTAAAAAATATATGAACTTCTTAACAGATATGACTGTAAAATTTCTATTGCAGTTGGATTCAATTAAAGCAGTGCATATGTTGGAGTTCTAATACATACTATTCTATTCATAGCTTGATGTTGTGTTTCAGTGCCATTTTATTTGCAGGTTTAATTTGGCAAATGTGGAATTAGTTCCCATAAAGTATTGGTGAAATTTCAGACATACATGTCAGAGACATGTTACAGCAAGTAGCTGGAGGAAATTTTTTGCTTCTAAATTGCAAATATCTTTGTTTCATCTGCTTTTTTATTTTTAGTGAAATGATGTCCTGTGACTATTGCACACTAGTCCGAACCTTTTTACATTTAAATTTTGAAATTTAAATTAAAAAGTGGTGTTGAAAATGTAATTGAGATGTAATATGAGATAAACTGTTGAGGAACACAGTTTTCTGCGCTGAAGAATTTCTGAGCATCCTAATTCAGTATTGTCAGTTTTGTTAAAAAGTCAGCGACAAGCAGTACAATAGGCTTGATTTAATGGGAAAAATCCTTATAAATTGATTTGTGCATGAGAATAAGATAAAGAGAACTAAAAGGGAAGTACTGACTTAGTCTGTACAACTAAATGATATAGCATACTGTATTTTTTTTTTTTTTACCTAATCCCTGATGGAATATTAGAGAATTAGGGTCATTATTTGAGTAATAAAACTCAAAAGGTATAACTGATATCTCTTCTCCCACCACTGCTTGTTGTTAGATCTATAATTATTATATCTGTAATTATTCCATCTTCTACTCTGTAGAAATTCGTTTTGATAGAATGTAGTGCTTGTAGTAGAACTCTATAAAAACACAATGAAATTTGGTAAAACAGGCCTAGAATTACAAGTGTGATCTGTGTTAAAAAGGATGAGTGTGTTCGGGTGGCGTAGTGAAGATTGTAGAATTTGCTGCCTAATTCATGGCTTGTCTTAGAAGTATAGCACAAAGTCTGTTTCCAAATTGTAAGCATTCCCACAGCCTTTTTCAAAAAGATATTGGTTGTTTGGTAATGTAGTATCAGATCTGAGTTCATAGAGAGCTCTGAAATACATATAAACATATGAACCAAACTCATTGTCACCTAACTACATAAATTCATTTTGTTGTTATTAATAAAAACTCTTTGCCAGATCAGCTGTAGAAAGTAGGAGAGCAGAGTGAAAATGAGTTACAACAAAATAAGTAAAAAGGTGTTTTTAACAGGTTTGTTTATAAGCACTGTTGAACCTACAATTGAATTTCCAGTCTAGTAGCAAAACTGTAGATATATTCTAACCTACTATTACTTTCCAGTTAACTAAGAGACATCTTAAAATTTCTGTACAGTAATTGCAATGTTTTCATATTAGGGTGTGCTTTTTTTTCCTTTGCATACAGAGATTTAAAACATAATTTAAAACATTATTAGCTTTCCTCAATGAACAACTAGAGTTTTTCATTGATAAACTAAGAACTGGATGCATTACTTCTGACAGTTTGGTATTTTGCCACTTGTAGAAAAATCAAATGGAATAGTCTAAGCATTATAATGGCAATCTCCTCCCAGTTCAGTGACAAAAAGTATTTTATTTTACAGAAATTGCAAATCCTCTGCGGTTGCTAAATATGCTTCAGCTTAGCACACATCTTGCACAGTTTATTGTAGAAAATTCATCATTATTTGCTGATAGACCCTTTTGAACTTTGAGAAAAGAGATGGAATAAACTAGAATTACAGAGGAGTACTAACATTCAGAAAATATTTAATATTTTTCTGTACTGATTATTTGATGTACTGCTCAGAAGACAAAAGCCTCTAGGAATACTGAAGTTCTCTGTTAACTCCTTTATGTGGTGCTGCCGTTGAGTTCTTTTTGCTTGGACAAGCTACAAGTCAGTGGTAGAAGATGGTTAACTATAAATTTCCAAGAGTTTTGGCAGTAATTCAAGAATTCATAGGTCAAGAACAAGCCTTGTACATGCTACAAAGAAAATTAAAGGCCTTAGACAAAATAATTTCTAGCTTGAAATCCTTCTAGAACCTGACAAATACTATTTATTTCAGAGTGGTTTGGAAGAGATTTCAGTTTGTGCATTCTTGTTCCCTATACAGAACTATCATTCCATTTCTTAGTTGATCATTTGTCCATAGGGGAGAACTATTAAAAAGAAGTCAGATTTTGCTAACACTGTGAAAGTTGCTGGTTGTTGTAATTAAATTAATTTGAGATTTTAGGTGCAAAGAGCTGAGAATGCCACGTTACTTTCAGAAAATCCTTGCTCCTTTAGAAGGATAATCTTAGAAATATGTTGTAGGATTGTAGCTGAAAAATAAGCAAGCCTGAAGATCATTTTGGCAACTGAGATTCTCAAAACAACAAGCTGCTCTTTTTCAGTTACATTTTAGCTTGCATGCTTTCCAGCTCTCATCTTATGGGTTTCTTCCTGAAGCTGAAGCTATGAAAAAATAAATTGATTTTTTATAAATGCATTCAATCATCAAAAATCATTGTTCTTCGACACTGAAAAACTTTATTTGTGTAATTTGTTCCATCGTCTGGTTTCTGAGAACAGTTATGTCTGAAATCGTAAGACTGAAAGATATGGGAGTTGGGAACTATGCTATTCATAGCCATACTATTCCAGAAGTAAATATATAGACCTTTTCTGTATGGATAACTCTGACCTGAATTTAGTAAACACAGAACAGCAGAAGGTATGGGCTTGCTCAGTCTTATTCAGTATAGGCATTTGGTACATCACTGAAGATGAGCTGTTGTGGAAAATCACAAAACATTTCCTGTGAGGTGAGAGAACAATACTGCCAAACACAGTTTGTTAGTAAGCTTCCTTAAAGAATAGCTTTGAATGCATGTATCAGAGTGAGCTGTGAGACAGCTCCCATTATTGTTAAACATGCCTGAACAGTGCAGGTAGTTGTTTGCTGGCGGAAGAGGAAGATGTATTTAGATTACAGATTGAAGTTTTGTTGATGTAGCCTTTAAGAATTAGTGTATTATTTTCCTTTTTGATAATTAGATTTCACTTTGATTAGAGTTTGGTCTGTGTATTAAGATTCACAAGTTTTCTTTGCTTTCTGAAGTTATTTGGGTTAGCTATTTGGGCTTAAGCAAAAATAGTTCAAAGTGTGAATGTGTGATTAAAGTCTGATTTAACAGTGGAATGTTGACCAGACAGACAAAAAAAAAAAAAGAAAAGGACTTAGGTAAAACAGAGTTACCAAGTCTTTTGATAATGAGAAAAATGTGGTGTTTGCTATTCTTACAAAAATTTTATTCCCCATATTACATCAGATGACTCACTGTATCATTCCATTCCAGCCATCTTTTGTTCATGGAAATCTGGCTGCTGTTATTGAAACTGGTGTCCTTTATTCCATCTATGGCACAGTAGGAGATAATGAAAGAAAAAGGAAAAAAAGGAACTTGTATGAGGCAAGGAAAATGGGGTAGAATTTAAGCACATAAAATGTTATCAAGGGTATTTGAGAGTTAAGCATTCCATTATAAGAGTATTTGCAGGGGAGATAATATGGAATATATGTGGTGAATAAGAAATTACTTCTCCTTGACCAGGGGATCAGAATGGGAAGAGGGTAAAGAAATAATCTGTTCAGGAATGGGCAGGAGAGAAACATCAAATGGCAATGATTCAAATTTTATTGCTTTTATTAGCAGTTTGTCTTTCTTTCATTAGCACTGAAGCTTGGAGTGCACTTGAACTATGCTCAGGAGGACACCTATAGAAGTGGGAAGGGTGGAGGCAGAGTAAAAAAAAAAAAAACAGAAGACAACAAAACAACATCCCACCCCACCCCGGATGATGTATTTTAAAAAAATAAGAATTTAAGTATGCACTACATCTGGTTAGTTTATTATTAAATCGACTTAATTTTGTTTCATGATTTTTGAAAGGTGAAAGCTAGCAATGTTAAGATAATAAATATTGTTAACTTTTCTAATTTTGTGGCAGTAGACACAAGAACTTGTCATTATTAGTATTTATTAAATGCTGCACTCAAATTTTGTTTCTCATTTTCATGGCTGTGGCAGTTTTAGAAAACCATTCAATTATACACTATGTAAAATTCCACCTGACTTGAGTATTTCATTTCCATTACCAGTAATTATCCTAACTCACCAAAATGTAGTATGAATATCTGAAAGCTTACTGTACATTTTCAAGTACACAGTTATTTGCTGGTTGCACTCTTACGGTCTATGGAAACTGCTTGTATAAGATTAGAAGTGTGTATTATTTCAGCCTGTATACATGAGGACCCATACGTTTTTACTTTTCCTTCCTGCGTGCTGCTCATGGAACTTTGGCTACCACAGTCTGCTCAGTTTTGTGAATGTGTTAGGAGTATCCATCTCACGTGGTTTGGATGTACAGGGATATCAGTGTTGGCTTCACTTATCCTCAGACAAGCTTCATACAAAATCTGTAGACTTCTAGTTAATTTTTTTTGCCAAAAAAAGATTGAAAAATTGTGATCAAACTGACAGAAATAGAAGGGAAAGATGAAAAAAAAAAAAAACCAGTTAAAACAACACCTCAAAAAATAAGAGAGAGTTTCAGAAATGTCAGGAGACAAGAGCAGGCATGTGCTTAAGACGTGAACACCTCATCCTGGCTGCTGCTCCAGCCCTCCAGCTGCAGGACTCGCAGCTCCCAGGAAGCGGAAGCTGCTGAGGCACGCTTCTCTGCAGGCTGTGAGATCAGGCCATGCTGCTCTGCATCTCAGCCTGGAGAATGGGAAAGGGCTGGGTTGTTGCTTTCCTGTCTCTGGCAATTAGTGCTTCCCTGTCTCCAGGACTCTTACCTCACCAGCTCATTTGTTATCTCCCTGCATAGCTGAAAATTTGTGTTCTGTGTATGACTTATTAACTTGCTTTCCATTCAGGAAGCTGCACTGCAGCAGGTTAATGGAGAGCCCGGAGGTTTTCACATTCCCATGGCACCACGGGGAGCCCACTAGAAGCAAAGAAAAGCAGCCTTTAGAACCCTATTTGTTAAGAAATAATGTAGGAATGGTTTAATTTATTGTGATAGCTGTTGTGGCTAAAGGCTAGAAGGGGCCTGCTTAGCATTTTCATTTGGGTGGCATTCCTTCAAGGTAAAAAGAGAAAACCTAATTCTTATGGACAGAGGTTCCTCTGTTTTGTTGAAGTGAGAAAGAAGGAGCAAGCAGTGGGAAGGGGTTTTTTGTAGGATGTTGATAACATGGTAGAATAACATGGTAGAATTCTGTGATCTCGCATGGATCTTACTTAATCATACAATATGCAAAATAAGATTCATAGGTGGAAAATAAAACTGTTGTGGCCCAAAGCTTAAAAACTAAAAATTTGTATCTGCGTGACACCTAGCTGTGATATTTTCCACAAAACTCCCTTAAATTCTCAACATTATTCATGCTTCTACAGAAAATAGCATTATTGTGATAATGAAGACCTATAGGCTGCTGCACATATTTTGGTAGCCTGCGTGTTGTAAATCCTCTTCAAGGTGTCAGAGGGGAAATTTAATGTGTTACGGAGAATGTGACTGTTGTCCTCTATGCAGATTTTAAAAAATGCAGCCCCTTCTTAAAAGGAAAGCAACCTCTGTATTCAAGCATCCCCCCCCACACACACAAAAAAATCACTCATTAAGGTTTCAGCTACTGCTAAGTGAACATCATTGGAGGATGTCCGGAGGACATCTGGAGTAAAATATCTCCGCCCAAGATTATTATAATAATTGGAATAAATGATGAGTCTGTATTGACCACCCAGAGGGGGAAAAGGATTGTATGGGTGATGTAATGCTTAGGGGACACTCCTTCGCTCTTAAGTCATCACTTTTAATTAAATTTCACTCATCAGGTTAAGTGAGTATGCTGTATGCCTGTAAATTCACTTGTAATGAATGAATTAATTAAAGTAACATGAAGAATAAAATGACATAATTTCAATTTAGTCTAATAAGTACTTCTGCATGTTGTTGGTTTAATAGCTAGTCGTCTCCCACTGAGGGATGCTAAAGCAATGATCTTGTAGCTTATATTTTTATTTTAAGCTGAAGTCATTATTAAGTTGACTTTCCAAAAACAGAATACAGAAGAGGAAGAGAGAATTCAGGGAACATGGTTCTGATGCTGTTGATAAGAGGAGTAAATCATAGAAGGCACATCTGTCTCTTTGGTTCCAGACCTAACGATATTGAAACTTGACAATACTACAGTATGTAGTGCTGGATAGTATATGCATTTTGATGTAACTGTTTAGTTATGCTTGTTCGCAGGCTATTATATATTTTACTTAATTAAATTATTGACTTGATCTTTTTTTCTTCTCTCTTTTTATTCCTCCCCCTCTCAGAGTGATAGCCTTTCAAGGTATGTGCAATTTAAGTAAATTAATTTAAAATTATTACACTTCTTAGTTACATATTCACAATTGATGTACAAAATTAGCCTAAACTCAGTAGTGAGTTGGGTTGATTTTAAAAGGCAATAATGATATTTAAAATTTATATGGAATATGATTGTAAAGCTACAGTAGTGTTTTGGTGGCTCTCTTCCCATTTGTGGGTGGGACTGTCAATACTGGAGAATGTACTGTATGCTATATTTGAAGTACACTGAAGGCATGCTAGGCATTTTGTAGAATTTAGTGGACACAGTAACATTCCATACAAATTTTGTAATTCATTTACAAATGTCAGCTTTTACCAAAAGAAAACACAGAATATCCTACTGAAAAAATTTCTAGGGAATCTCAGGAAAAATACTAGATCTCTGAAAATCATATTTCTTTAAGATTTATTAAAAATGAAAATGCACAAGTATCATATTTTTTTTTAAGTTTGCATTCGATTTTGGATTTAATTCGACTTTAGAGTTAATGATGATGTTTTGTTTATGCTGAAAATCTGTTAAACAGAACTACCACAGCACATGATCGATGATGAGTGAGCACTGTGATACTGCTTAAAACTGTATTAGCATTGTTTGTAATTTAGTGCTTAACAGGGTAAGGATTTTGCTGAAGATTTGTTTCACAAACTGCTTCTGTTGAAATACTACAATTTGCCATAAGTAGTTTTGAAATCTTCATTTATCCAATAAAGCTTGGAGAATTCATCTTGGCCAATGCTTTATAGATTACTTTTTAAAAACCCTTCAATTAAAGTACTACATTTAAGGTAGTACATGGATTTAATTACTCCTTGCCAGGAGTTGGACATGGTGATCCTTGTGGGTCTTTTCCAATGCCAAATATTCTGTGATTCTATTACACATGTTTTAAAACAGATCTTCAAAAACAAAGAAGTATCTAAACCAATAAGTCCTTTAAGATTCGGAAATACCTGAATTAAATGTTTTAATTTAATTTTTTTTAAACTCTTAGCATAAAATGCCGGCATTTATTTGGTCTAGTTGGGAATTTTTAAACTTCTTCACTCAGAGAATATTGAAATATACTGAAGAACAGTAAAGGAACATCAAAATCTAACTTGCATCGAGTTAGTTTATAGTGGCTTAACTAAAACACACAATTGCATGTGGTTGTTTTTTTTTCACTTGGATGATGGCACACTTACAGTGTCTGGTACAGTGAGTGCTATCAGTCTGAATACAGAAACAAAGAATAAGAACTTTTATTTTGCAGATATGACACGGGATCACTCAGTGTGTCTTCGGGTGACCGTTACGATTCAGCGCAGGGGCGATCTGGGTCACAGAGTTACCTCGAAGATCGAAAACCTTACTGCAGTAGACTAGAAAAAGAAGATAGCACTGATTTTAAGAAGGTAACTGATACAGTAATTTTCTTGTAAAAAAATGCTTGATTACTGTTTGTCGTTTTTTTTTTTTTTTTCATGAATTACTTGGAAACAATATCCTATTTCATCACAACTTACAGCAGTTTGGCTCAGTGGAGGATCAGAACAACCACTGCCATGGGGGGAAATATACATTGCAAAACAGCCTGTGGCTTTTGTACTTTTCTCTTTATAGGCAAGGAAGAAATCCTGACGAGTCAAAATACTTCATCATTTTATGACAAATTTAATCAAACTGTTTTTGTGGTTGATTGTATTATTAAAACTGCTTCATACATGCATTAAGCCCTTTATTTGATGTTTGCTACCTTACATACATATAAAAATTAATTTAAATCTTGCTTTAAAATTGGAGTTCGTAAAAAAAAAAAAGAAAAAAGGACTGTATTGTCTCATCTGTAATGTCTGAAGCAAAAAATTAGCAAGTGTTTTTTAATGTGTGAGGTAAGTTACATGCTCCCTGCAAAATTGCTTTCTTCTAGAGATATTTGGTAGCAATTCTTAAAGCGTTTGCTAATTCTAACCATCTTTAAATTCTAAAACTGATTTTTACTTCTTAGAATGTTAATGTATTTGTTCATTTTACATGCAGCTCAGTCATGGTTTTTAAAATGTTTGTCTAATGTCACAGAATTCTTACTCAGTATGTTTTTAAATGAATATTTTGTCTTAGCTTTATGAACAGATTCTAGCTGAAAACGAGAAGCTGAAAGCACAGTTACATGATACCAACATGGAACTCACAGATCTTAAACTACAGCTGGAGAAGACCACTCAGGTTTGTGTTAAACAAAAAGGCCCATGCTTAGCTGACAAAACAAGAAGCATCCTAGCATAGGGGCTGCTATTTACTGGGCATCAGCTTTGTTTCTTATCCAAAGATGAGAGTGAAGAAGAGTACCTCTCCGTTTATAAAGAGAAAAGAGTGCAGGATTCTGGTCTTCAGCTCTGAACAAAATGCGTGAGGCCATTTCCTGCTTGTTTAAGTGCTGGTGGTTCTTGCCAGCACATATGTGGGACTTCTGTGCAGGTAGGAATAAGCACTTTGAACACTGCTAAGCCTGTGTTCAAACTGTCAGTCTGGTTTGATTGATTAATTCATAAACCTACTGGCAGATTGGCATAATCTGCCAGTACTCCCTACCTAGTTAAATAGCTGTACCGGAGAGCTGAAGAGCAAATAGTGCACTTCACTTACAGGTAGCTGCTGTCAGATAACAGTGCTGCATACAGGAACACCAAATATGTACACAAAACTGAAATTCTTTTTAAATTGCTGTAGAAAGAATGTTCCTCATTCTCAGATCGCATCTGCCACAACTGACCTGTGTACATATTTCAGTGTCTTCCATATGCTCTTTGTAAATATCAGTAAAGTACAAGTAAGATGTTTGTTTTGTAGAGCTTTTAAATAGAAAAAGACTATATTACTACTATTTGCCAAAGGCTACACGGAGATTAAGTTACTTAGGGATGGTGACACAGGAAGCGTGTGATAAATCCAGCTCATTCTTCTTTAGTTTTTATTTCAGTGGTACTTCCTTGAACACATTTTAAAATGCTTTTAAAAGCATACTTTGGACAGAATACAGTAGCAGTTACCCTTATCTGAAATGCGTTTTATATTGCTTGTTCTCGTTGTTACACTGTTTGAGAACAAGTGCCAATATCTTCATTAATTTTGTGTTTCAGAGACAAGAAAGATTTGCTGACAGATCGCTCCTGGAAATGGAGAAAAGGGTGAGTTACTGCCAAACATCTCTTGAGTCGTCCGATTTGGGCTTTGTTTTAGTTTGTTTTGCAACTTCTGACTTGGATATATTTTAGTGGGAACAGAAGCCTTTCTTATAACTTGCATTTTTTAGAAGATCGAGGGATTTTAGGTTTCAGAGTGGCAATGAATATGAAAGACTGTCAGATGGAATTACTCTTAGAATTGCCTTCAGGTTGCCTTGTTGATAACCAGGTTGTAAACCCCACTGCCCTCCAGGATTCTGTCGCATGTTCCATCTCGTCCAAAACAATGTTGGCACTCCAGAAAGTTAAGCACTTTCAAAGCATCTCATCTTTTAATGCATTTCCAACATTCAGAGACCTTAATTTCCTCAGAGCTTTCTGGAGGCATGTGTGTTGTCTTACCAATTATTATTGGTAATGAAGTAGCTGTGTCTATCCCACAGACATCAGACCTTGAACCTACTAATATTATAAAATTAATTACAGACTGTCTCTTTCCTTGTACTGTACCTTTTTCTAGAGGGACTATAAAGCTGTTTAGGGGCAGGGTGGAGGCAAATGAATGAGCAGTGCAGGAAGAGGGGCATTAGAGAGAGACAGCCCTAATTTGATGGGGAAAGGAGACATGTAATAAATCCACATATGAGACAGACTACAGAGATTATTTCAGTAGTTGTGTCCATTATAATTTTAGGCTGTAGTTTTACACTCGCTTAAAACCCATCCCAATAGAAGTTTATTTCAGCAACAATTTAAAGCAAACAAAGTTTGTTCTGATGTGGTCCTGGCTTCCTTTATGTCCCCGGCTACACATACCTTTCTCCTTCCTGATCCTGGAGTGACGCATTAGATATTAAAATGGGAAGAAAACTAAATGGACTTTGATGGTAGTAAGTGGTATGGTATATATTTACTTTTCCTAGTAAACTTGACATTTACTAGCATTGTACGTTTACCTTCCAGTGTTTGAGATTTAGAAAACAAGTTTTAGTTCTGCAAACCTATGAGGTACATAAATAGTCAGTTTTATTGGAGAACATAAAGATGCACAAATTCTCTCAGGCAGTTTGTGAAGTTCCATTAGTTTTATCTTAATAATCTCTCCAGATAATTGAAGCAACCTTTCAGAGCCTATTTCGGCTTGTTCTTGTGGCCTCGTGCTGTAGGCAGTGATTTCATCAGTAGAGAACTTTCATCAGCAGCTTTAATTGGTTTCTTGCTTGCTATCATGGCCACACAAGTGGACATCTAATTATTTCATAGATTTGACTTTGACTGTATGCATTATTATACAGATGCCACATTCGGTACCGCATATCTTGACATTATTTCAGTATTAAATTACTGTGTTGCTTGTTCCTCAGATATGCCATTGTGTTAAGACAATTGGCTACTTTGGGAATTCTTGCACCTTTTTCTCGTATTAATACTTAGTTCAGTAGCAGAAATGTCTTTTGGAAACATTACTTTTTCTGAAGTTATTATGACCAAACCTAGCAGTTAAAAAGGTAAATAAAATTAGTGATAGTGCTGTATGGCTGAAACCTGATCTACACAAGATTTAGGAGATCTTCTATTTTATGATGTTCAATTTACTTCTTTTCAGACAATAATTTTAAACATGAATTTATTTGTGATTCTGTTTTCCCTGTTAGATCCAGAGTTACTTTCACTTTGACAATGATTGAAGTAGGATTCTCAGCTGCTAGTCATAACTAGCTCAGGTCTAGGAATAAGCTTACTAATTGTGGGGCTTTAGGAATAATTTAAAGAAGTCTTCCATATATGGGTGAAATAATAGCATAAATGAAAAAGGTTTAAAAACAAATGTAGAAATTTTCTAAGTATAATTTTCCAAGTATGACTTGAATAAAATAAAATACAAAATTGAAGATACTGATGTAAGTTCTTAGAAGAAAAAGGGAGGACAAAAGTAAATAGCAAGAACAAATGAGGAGAAATAGAAGGCTGGCAGAGAAAAACCTGACAGCATCTTTGAACTACGATATATTCCAGCTGTAAAATACTTTTACAGTAAAGAAGAACCTAGAAGTTCACCGTGACAGAATTTAGAAAATATAAGTTTAAAACCTTCATCAGTTGATTTCCATTATGTGTTCTGGTTATGCACAGTCAGCATTTTTCATTTAAGGACTAGCAGTAAGTTCTTAGGCAAAAATATGGCTTTCGTTAAGTTATCTATCACTCTAAAAAGTATATTAAAAACCAGACTGCAGGATTTCAATATGGATCAGAATTGTAGGTACCTTTAACCAGTTAGCTCCAAATTCATTGTGGATGCCCCATCCCTGGAGGTGTTGAAGCCCAGGTTGGATGGGGCCCTGGGCAGCCTGGTCTAGTATTAAATGTGGAGGTTGGTGGCCCTGCATGTGGCAGGTGGGTTGGAGATTCGTGATCCTTGAGGTCCCTTCCAATTCAGGCCATTCTGTGATTCATCATCTAAGAATTTGTGATGGGATGAGGTGGGCTTTTTCGTTTGTTTATTACTGAATGTATGAGTTTTTAACCTGTATATATCCACGTACCTCAGTCTTGTTGCACCGACTGTGGTTTCTGGTTGCTTTAATACGGGCAATTTTATACACTCAGAAACTGCCATGTGTGTTTTCTTCGTCTTGAGAATCGCAAATGCTTTTCGTCGTACCTTAGAGAAATGCTGAAATACAAAACATCTTAGGCTGAGTAAATATCAAAGCCTTTCTCTGAGTTCAGAGACTAATTGGATGACATTGGCAAATCTTCTCAGTGAAACTGAATATGTCCTTTGCTGTCCACTTCCTGAAACAGCAAGCAGTTCAGAAAAAAAGGAAGTTTTTCACACAGGGGGTGGTGACACACTGGAACAGGTTGCCCAAGGAGGTTGTGGATGCCCCATCCCTGGAGGCATTCAAGGCCAGGCTGGATGTGGCTCTGGGCAGCCTGGTCTGGTGGTTTGTGACCCTGCACATAGCTGGGGGTTGAAACTAGGTGATCATTGTGGTCCTTTTCAACCCAAGCCATTCTATGATTCTATGAAAAAAGGAACACAGTTTCATCTAATTAGAACTATATGTTTTTTACAACAAATCTTATATCTAGTCCAGTCCATTTAAATGTTTATTTTGTATAATGTAAGGCATGCAAAGGTGATGAAATAAGGATTTGATTTAACTGGCCTTTATTGCAAGTAGTTATTCTTAAACAAGTTCAAGAAGCAAGTTAAGCAAATTCATCCAAAGGACTAAGGATTTTTAGCCATCTGAAATTGTAAGATTATTTCATCGGTCATTCATCTCTTGGTAATTATAGGAACTGCCCAATATTGCTTATTGTAACAGCACTGATAATATATGTTATCCTGCAAAACTTCTGGGTAAACTAAGGTTCTAATTAATGTAAAATGGTGTGTTTTTTTGTTAGACAATTGTTTGCTGCAGTTAACTCACTGGTATTTATTATTATGCCATTATTATCAGTCAGTATCATTATGGGAAAACTAGTTACTTGAAGAAGTACCTTAAGTACTAACAACTGCAGTAATCTATCATATTGTTAAACCTTTGGAATTGTTTGCTAAAATGGGAAAATGTTGGGGAATAACTGCACTATGATTAAACTAAATTCAAATGATTTGTATCTGAAAGGTGTCCGGCAAGAGTCAGTATCTACTGGGCGGTATGATCTAACCAAAGTTTTACACACCTCAGTCAATGCTGCTTGCTGTTTGCATAACACCATTGTATGCAGATGCATATGTACACCTTGCAATAATCTGTTGCTTTTGCCTTTCACACTTTGGAAAAATATGAATGTAGAATACTGAATAACCACAATGCTTTTAAATGAGATACACTGCGTTGTCTGACACAGGAAAGCAAGCAAGCTATAAACCCCTGAAGTCTACTGCAGTAGCTGTTGATCTGTCAGATGTCTGAAAACAAGGATTAAACAAAACAGTAGTGCTTAGAAACATGGTAGTGTATCTGCACTGCAGACTGCAGCATAGTATAGAAAACCATAAGCTAATTTTCAGTAAGCTACCTTGGGTACTTAAATGAGAACCTGACATTCTTGACAAAGGCTAATTTCTCCTGCTTCTCAAGAAAGAAGGAAAAAAAAAAATACTATACTAGAAACGCAGAAAATACTCAGGAAGCATTTACTGAAGAAGCAGGTGGTCCTACGTGGCTAGATTTCTTTGGTACTTAGCTGAACTGACGTAACGTAAGTTTGGGTTGTATCTACACTACGTTGCAGTTTAGAGTGTGGACAGATTCCACTGAGCTGAGGCAGATGTTTCAGCTACATTTGCTTGTCTTTGAAAGCTTACGCTTTTGTGCTTTTTTCTTTTAATATTCTTGTTTGTTTCTGATCATTTTCTGCATTTCTTGTATATTAAGCTTTTCCAGAAGCCTAGCTTATAAAAATAAAGCCCAAATAAATGGTGCTTATGAGCTGTGTAAATTTGTGTAAAGGAAGGGGTATCTTTTGTAGGACTTGATATCTCTTCCTCCTAAGTTATTAAAATTGAGTATTGAAATATTTTCTATTTATCACTGCCATCACAAGTTTCCTGTCTACACTGTGCTTCTGGTTGTATGATCTTTGGAACTTGAAATATTTCACAGTTATCACAGTATTTACAAGCAGTAGTTAGTAAAAAAGGTATTGTTTGGTGTTAACATACATTTTTTTGGATTTAGGAAAGAAGAGCTCTAGAAAGAAGGATATCTGAAATGGAAGAGGAACTGAAAGTAAGTATTGTTAAATACTAACACAGTGTATTGATGTCAGTGGCTTAAAACAGCACTTAATCTAGCAGTATTTCCAGTCTTTATAATTTCAGTAGAAAGTAAATAAGCTATAGGCACATTAAAAGTCAGCAATTTCTTTTCTTTTTTTTTTTTTTTTGTAGTGAAGTTTTTTTTGCTGTTATCAGCAATCATATATGTAGGACTTATCTCCTGGGAGGGTGTTGGGACTTACAGTGGTATAGCACATTCACTGATGAGAAGCATTCAGAGATGTCAGCAGTGAAAGATATCTTGATCTGATCAAGGCAGAATCGCAATCTTTGTTTTGGATACAATACTCTCATGTTTATTTAGTTAAAAATAATGGCATATAATTCTGTAGGTTAAGCATAGATAATTTCATAGATTAAGTATTAAATGTTGCTTCAACCCTTATCTCATGTTCATTAAATTATGTATTAGGAAGCAGGTTCCAGTGTCAAAAGAAAAAATTATATTTATGTAGAGTTAGTAATAATCAGTTTTTAGTGACCAAAAAAGCAGCAGATAATTTAAATTTCAGATTGTAACAGAAAAGCACCATTTACCACATGCACTGAATAATAAAATGTCATGCTTTGACTTGTCTCATTCCCTGGTTTATCAACATTTTAAGTCCTTTGATATGATCAAGAAGTCTGAAAAATCTAGCAAATTTGTTTTGTATTATATCCTTGGATATAATACTGGACAGAGACTACCAAACTGATAAAATTAAGATTTAACTGGAAAACTAGTGGAACATGATGAAAACATCTTTGTATGCCATAATTTTAAAGGAAAAAGGCCGTTTTGAGATTTGAAAGTTGTCATCAATTAGAAAGTTTCCTTTCAGTCTCATTTTTTAGCTCCCTCTGGTGCTTGGAAACTGTATTAACTACCAAATCCTTGTCACTAAAACACATGCACTAAGGTTTGTTGATGTAATTGAACCTGACAAGCAGAAGTAAACAGGATTCAGGACAAGACAGTGAGCTCTAAGGGGAGGATGCAGCGTATGAGGTTCTTAGAGGGGTGTTCAGAAGTGAAATCTGTATAAAGCTTTCTATGGCATAGGAACATAATCGGTTTTATGAGGTAGATGAAGGAGATATGAGCTTGTATTATAGGCCTGTAAATTGTTGTTAGAGATAGTTGGGATACAGAGGAAAATGGAGAATGCAAATACCTTGTGTTTTTCAAAAGCCAACTTTCAATTTGTGAAAGTTTTGAATTAAAGATTAATACTCTTCCTGTTGTTTGTTGCACTGTCATGTACATATATATATTAAGTGCAGCATTATTTATTAACTTTCGAATAGGGTTTTTTTTTTCTTTTTTCTTTTTTCTTTTTTTTTTTTTTTCCCACAACTACAACATTAAGCAAAGAATTCCAGGAATAACTTTCATTGTTGATGTGTCATGAGCTGTTTTGGAAAGCTGTGACTGATTGCTGCTGGTTCTTAGATTGCTTTTCAGGAATGTGCCACTTGTCTGATACTTCCCTTTCACAGCGAGTTATCTACCTTAAACAGGACTGTCTCTTCTAAGTTTTCTTTCAATCCTGCTATCTGTAGTTCTTTTAAACATAATATGCATGTGTGTTTTTTCTTTCTCATTTTCACCTCTATTTCTTTGATTCCTGCAGAACCTGCAACAAATAAAGCAAATTCAGTCTTTGAGGCACATAAATGAGCGACTGGTGATTGAGAATAGGGCCTTGACCCGTGTGGTTGCCAAGCTGTCAGGGTCCTGTAGGCAACTGCGTTCTGTGGACTTGTAATTTCTTCCATCTCCTTTGTGTAGCCAGGCAGGTGCTGACAATAAGTTTGTGCTTGGGTAGAATTGTACTATTAACACCTGTGTGTTGGAAGATGACTTACTGCTTGGTTATGGAAGTGTGGCTAAAGCATGGTGTCTGGTGTACCAAATGGAGATGCTGCAGCTATATTGGTATGGTGTGGTATTGTTGATACTAGCACTGAAGCTTGTGGTTTTTCCCTTGTAGCTAAGCTGGCAAGGGTTTGCGAGATCTTTGACGCCTTAACACCCTGGCAACAATTTGAAGGGATTTGTGTTGACTTTGCATTAGGATACACTGAAGTCACCATTTAGATGTTTGAATAAATGCTTAAATCAACAGATTTATCTCTGGTTTTCTAACAAATTGAAGAATGGGTCTTTCATACTGCAGTATAATTAAAATGCATAGAACTGAACCAAATCTAGCTGCAACTACAGAAAGTTTGAGAGGTGAAAGTTGAGATTCTGGTGCAGTACTCTGCGTTTCTGAACAGCTGCATTAGCAACTGTATTTTTTACATTTGTCTGATTTTGTGTTCAGACATTGTCAAAGTCGTCCGTTAAATATATATCAGACTTGAAAGTCAATTCATCTTTTCTGTACAAAATTCCTGCGTGGTGCTGTACAATCCTTATTTTTATCTAGACTAAGCTTAGAATTTGCAATTTTAGCACTAGTTTGAAGGTTATTGATATCTATTGCTACATAAGCAGGTGTTCCAGTTATGGACCTACAGTCCTATCGTGCAAGGACTAAACAAACAGACACAAAAACACTCTACCCAGAGTGTTAGATTGGTTTATACTTACTGGGTCATCCTGTCTGGTCCCCTTCTGCTAAAGATATGAACTGTTTTAACTGCCACTTTGGAAAAAAACATCAGTTTGTTGTAGTGTTATTGTAGGGCTCTTTGGGAAACCCACTGGAGGTTCAAAACTTCTGCATGGAACAGAGTATGGTTTCACTCCGTGACAAATCTATCAGGCTTTCTTCTTCCTCTTTCATAACAGCTGTATGAGGTGGAGGTTTCAGTGAGATTCTAAGATTTGTAGGTGAAGATAAAATAATTTTCCTTCTGCACAGTGATTCTTGCTACCGTGCTTCTCCTTACTTGTCCCCCCTTCCCTCTCAGAAGCAAAGAGATGAGTGCACACTTTTTCTTTCTGCTTACGGAGTCAGATCTCAGGTTTTCCCAGTCAAAGGCATGAAATAAATAGCAAGTTTATCCTTTGGCTTTATGTCTCCCTGAAGTTGACCTAACAATAGGATGTGGATAAAAAGGTTGCTCCTAGTCAGCACCCCGCATTCCTGAACATTCCCTTGCATTAACCCTTAGTGAATCAGTCAGCTCTCTGACCTGGCTGAAAAGAAATCCCATTAGTGGTTGTACAGTTTGATCCATCTTACTGCAGCATGGTTGTGTAACTAAAGCTAGCACTCAGCAGCAGGAGCGTGTTGCTGCAGGAGGAGGGGGAACTGTCCCTTCAGGGCAGCCTGTCTTAGACCAGCTTCAGCTAACAACTTGGGTTTTCAACACAGCCAAGCTAATCTAGTGTCAGCTGTCCACAGCCACATGTCCCTACAATGGTTTTTTTGCAAGCACTGGCATTCCTTTAACCATGCTAAGCCTTTTCAATATGTTAAACCACAGAAAATCATTCAGTATTCTCTTTTTTAGAGGAAGTTTTCAAAGGCAGATCATGGTGAAGCTCAAGGAGCAGCACTAGCAAAGAAAAGCAATGGCTACACAGCAGGGAGACTGGACGTTTTGATGGTAGCTTGACCATAGCACTGTGGCTGATTAATCTGAACAGTTGTCTTGACAGTGCATGAGCTTTCTCTAATCTTAATGTACAAAGCTCTTTGTTACATGCAAACTGTTAAATCCTCCAGCAAATAGAGACATTGTTACTGAGGTGGTTCCAGCAAGTGGTTATTGAAAAATTATTTGATCTGCTACAGTACTGCAAAGTTACCAGCTAATTGTATAATACAGATAGGCAAAATAATGCATTTTGATCTAATTCAAGAATCTCATCAAGACAAGATACTCTATTACTCAACTGAAAAAGAAATTGGAATTTAAAGTACTAAGTACAGTATGTAATTGCAAATTGTAGTGGGTTTCATGCAGAGCTTTTTCTCTGCTTCTCCACGTGAAAGGCATGTGATACTATCTCATAATAAGTTTGAGTACCATAGGAATGCACTGCTCCAAAACAATTGCATAAATGTCTTTAGTTGGGCTTAATATGTAGTTTTATATGTCAGGATTAGTATAGATGGGAAGTGTAAGTATTTTATGTTACCTAACCTTATCCTTTCCAATAAGTCTCCTATTACTTACAACTCCTTTTGTCTTCCACCAATCTTCCTCTATTCTTTAGCAGACTTATAAGCAAAAGAAAATATTTTCTTCATATGTATTCTGCCTATTACTTTAATGAGGATTTAAATTTATCCACGGAGATTTGCAGACGTGTAATGGTATCGGATTATGTTAAAGCTCTAAATTTGAACGGGGCCTTTTTGCTGCTGTTATTAAAATGATTAATCAGAAAATAGAGCAGTTTCTGGGTCTGCCTGCATAACATATTATTGACTGCTGCTCCCTAGTCACTAAGTTGAAGGACTGTAAAATAACTGGAATTGCTGTGGTTAGACGGACTCTCCAGATTGGTTCTTGCTCCTTCTTGTTCCAGTAGACCTCTACCCAGTGTCACAACATGACACTAACCTGAGGTCACAAATCCAAGGCATCAGAATGAAAAATACAGAACTTTTGATCCCTATATGTGTATATATTAGAATTCTCTTGGATAGTGCAATAGCTTCTTGCTTTCTTCTTCCTGAAGGCACTCATGGAGTAGGTAGCAGTATTAGTTTAACGGTCCAAACTCACAGAACACAAAATTATCCCCTCTTAAGATTCAGGTTGTTTATTTTTGGGGTTTTTTTTGTGTGTGAATTATCTCACTGTAACTTTTCAGAAATCAAATCAATGTCTCTTCAGAGCAGATACATGACATAAAGTGGTGGTAATAAGCTATCGTACAGTGTAAAAATCACAGATGATATTTGAAAATTGTCAATTGATGGCTTGTGTTGCTCACGTTCAAATATGTTGACGTGGTTTTTGAAAGCAATTGGTATTTATAGCACTTGATATTCAGAGCATGGCTTTCACTTGACTGTGATTGAAGCTGTAAAATTAAAGTGCTCTGACTCCCTGTGAAGAGTTCAGTTTGGGTGACTTGCCCTGAGCCGCACTATGGAGTAGAGCTAGAATCCAGGCTAGCAGAATGATTCTAATTGTGGAAATGACCTTTTTTTCCACTTGTTATCTTGTTACCTTTTGTTTCATATACTCTGGTATTTGCAGGTAAAGAAAGTAGAGAACCCATCGCCTCAGTCACGTCTTGTGCACCACCCTGTTCACTCTGTGAGAATCTGCTGCTAGTGAACTGATTGTAGACAGGAATCCTTTGGAGGAGATGTGTAAATGAAGGCTTAAACTTCACAGTTCCTTCTGCTCCATAATAATGTTCTGAGTATAATGGGTCTACAAGTATGATTTTGCAAGGATAATATGAAAGCAAAAGTAGTGGCATGGAAATTTCATCATGAAAAATTAAGTATAGGTCATCGGTTGGACTTGGACCTCTTGTGTGCTCTTGCACCTTGAAGGTTCCTGAATAACTACACTGCAGGAATAGGCTGTTGCCTCTTGTGGAAACCTGCTGTTAGAAACCATACATGTAATATAGCCGTGAGTTTTATAGGTGGCTTGTTATCAGTGTGTGAATACTGACACTTGAGAATTTCTGAGATTACTTCTAGTTTCTCTGATAAGTTTGCTCACCCAGTACAAAGCTCTGTGTGCTGGCTTGTCCTCCTCTCCTGTCTGATCCTGTCCAACTCTCACCTCACTTGGCTTCTGCCTTCCAGCTCTTGTGTTTGTGTGTCAGCCATCTCCTGTGGCAACCTTAACTTGCCATCTCCTAACCGGTATGCCTGAGCGCGCAGCCTGGTGTTTCAGTGATCTGATCTTGTGTGAACCGTGCTATTCAGGGATGGAACCTCAAAGAACAGGATGTGCACTTGCACACAAGTTTGGAAGCGATTGAAAGATTAATGCTTTGAGTTAATAAGCTGAATCACACTGTATCTGATCAGGATGAAATCATCCAAGAGAATGGTGGCAGATATAATTAGCTACAGCATGCTATTTTGAAACTGTGCAAGTGCAGTGTAGACGAGCCTCTTTAAATTGTCACTGATTAACATTTTTTGCTTTGCACTGGAATCTGAAAAATTGCTTTCCTTATGCTACTCTAAATGCTTTTGTGAAGAGGCTGCTCATCTGCACCACTTCATTTTAGTGCACCTAGACCAGGCAATTGAAAGTTCTTAATGTATAGCTCCTAACTCTGTCGTGCTAAAAGATGAGAATTTTCTGAACTGCTGATGCAAAGGGGGCAATTATGACCAAAATATTTCAACTGAGTGAAGATTTTTATCCCCAGTGCTTGTCTGCTCTTGTTGCTGTTACTTGGAGTATAACAGCAAATAACCACCGTGTTTCTTTTTTGATAGATGCTACCAGACCTGAAGGCAGACAACCAGAGGCTAAAAGATGAAAATGGGGCCTTGATCAGAGTTATAAGCAAACTTTCCAAATAAAGGGCTTACTACAGCAGCAGATAACGGTATTGCACATCGTGAGTAACTCCAGTGGACCATAGTATGGCAGTCACTGGAAGTGTGGGAAGATCCCTTGGAGACTGTCATTTTCAGATATCCTGCCAAACGCCCTCTTACCTGTGTGTTTTTGTATCAAGATCATTGTTTCTGTTAAAATGCAGCTGCTGAGAAGAAAAATGACTGAGAAATCTTGTTTACAGCTACAGCATTATAAGGAAAGTGTTCAAGGCCAGATACGCCTCAGATATTTAACCAGTAAGCCTTAGTTGTACATAAACACTTTTACATCAACAAAAGCTTTCAGCTCTCACAGAAGACAGTTACTCAATAATGTTTTTGTTGTGCCACAACTCCCAGGTTGTTTTTTTTTCTATACTCAGTTTTTCTTTAAATCGTAAGTTTGGATTTTTTTTCCCTTCTAATTATTCATGTACCAGATTTTCTTGTACAGTGTTTTCACAGCTTTACCATTTGCAGAGACCACACACCCTTTTAAATTACATATTCGTGTAGCTACCTAGAGTTGTATTGTCCAACCACCTGGAACAGAGATGTTTGGTGGAACGTTTGCTTTCACTGTTTGTGCAATATGCATTTATTTCCTATACAGAATGCTTTAAAAGTCAGTTGAAACTAGAATTATTTTAAAGTCCTGTTTTCTGCCTTCATCGATCACTTAAAAAAAAAAGTTTGTAGTGAAAGATGCTAGTTCCTGTAATCGTCACATTCATTTGAGCAGGTACTGAGTGATGCTGTATATATAAATGTGTACTGGTTTGATTTTTCAGACCACCACGTGGCATGCTTGAATATATTTCCCTATTGCAAATGTCTGTTAATGCAAATTAGGCTACTCCAGAATAGTGTGTTTAACAAAGTTCATTAATTTTTATGGTATAAAGAATTTAGACATTGTACATTGTATGGAGCCCTATCTTTACAAAAGGTCTAAACTATATAAAATACTTTATTATCTTTTCTTCCCATTTGTTTTTTTTTTTCATTTGATAGTGTTCACCATAATAAAAAATGCATAAATATAACTGCTTCACTACATTTCACATACCTGTATTTATCTGAGTGCTGTCCAAAACTGTTGTGCTAGCCAAAGTAATCTTACTAAATCATTTGAAAAACATAACCCGTTACACTCACATTAATGTTTATATGCACTGTTGCCATGTGAGAAGGCATCTAATTTGATAACACCGTCGTGTCAGACCATTTTATACATTTCAGTGGCCTTTAAAAACAAAGAAAGTACTTAAGTGAAGATTGCTTTTGTTAGAAACAGCTTTTATATTTCATTAAACCATTCAGAATACGACATCCTATCGGCACATACTTTATTGCCTAAAACCACTGACCAGATCAGCCATTAAAACCGATTGTACATTGTAAAGCTTGTAGTAGCTATTGTATTATTGATTATATTGTATACTATATTAAATGTGAATTTGTACCCCTTCATTTAAAAAGGTCATTGTGTTCTACTGCCTCCTGGGGGTGGGGTTAGCTTTAGGGGGGTGGGATATGTTCGGGGAAGGAAGACGTGATGTCCTCTCTCCGTTGTTTGGTTTTTTGAAGATGTAAGGTTATGCTCTTACTACCAAGCTCAGGATTCTTGATTTTAAAGGTACACGGATAGTCTGAGATACCTGATTGTAATCGATCTGTGTGAGAGGTGGGGCTGAACCATAGGGAACTTCCATTGTCATATGCTACCATAAAATAAGCGGAGAACTGAACGGTTTGAATGGCTGCAGCGTACTGAGTTCTGTTACAAGACAGTTAGGCATATTCTCGATTATATTTGGTAAAAGTTTGGGTGCCTGTGAATGATTAAATACGTGTTTCTAATATTTTAGTGTTTTATATTTAGGTTATTTATTCTTTATATCTTAAAAAAGATGAATGGCTACTGTGCTATATTGATTTTATTGGTAGTACTGAGCAGACCTTGTATCTGCATGAAACTAGTCGCAAAACCCACTATTTTGGAAAAAAAAAAAAAAAAGTATTTTGACATATACAAATAAAATGAATACAAACTATTTTAAATGTGTGAAAGTTTTACTGAGAAGACACTGAAATTTGTTATGAACTTAAACGATGTTGTAAGTTTGCTATTGAAATTCTTCGGTGGGCATTTTTCATTCACTGCGTCATTGGGATGCCAAATTCAAGTACCTTTCAAAGATTGTAATCAAATGGTGATTATTTGCACATCGTTGTACATGCACATCTGTAAGTGCTACAGTAAAAATGCCATATTTATGCAATCTGTAACAACTTGGACAAATGTTTATATATTTTACATAAACCTGTCTGTGTGCAGAATGTGAGAACCATTTTTTATGTGATGTTATCACAAGCTCACAGAGCAATTGCTAACTGTGTGTCACGGTCATACTGTACCCTTTGTGTTGCAGACCAAATGCAGCCCAGGAAGATCACACTGATGCAGAAACAGTGTAGTGACAGGGGACTGCTCTGTGATTTAGGGACAGTTTGCATATGAGAAATACATTATTGCCAGCTGCTGACTCCAGCAAGCCTGCTTAACTGACCAATAGCTTACATTTTTGGAGGACTCTCCCAGTGTGGAAAGGGAGGGATATTTGTGTGCCACAAGTTAACATCAGATACAGACAGAAGCATGGACAGAGCTGAAGGAAGAGGCCGTGGGAATGCACAGAACCACCCATTAGTAAAACCACCGTAACCCCCAGAGGAGGGGTGACCACGTGTGGGAAAGCAGCACCAGGTGCAGGGAGGATGGAGGGACTGTGTCTGTATGTACCGTGGCACTTAATGGTTCCAAATGCTAAAAATAATTATCCAAAATAAGGGGCTCTGGGGATGAAGCCACAGTTTTTTCCCACCCCAGCTCCCTCATTGTGATCTATTTCCTTTGCATCTTCCCTGTTCCTAGTGTGCACTGCTTTCAGACTTCTGCCAAGTCTGAATGAAGAAGGAAGGACCTTCCTCTGTACATTGGTGCATGTTTTGTTAAGTGCCAAATACAAAACACGAGAGCCCCAATGTTACTCTCCATGCTAACCTTTGGTTTGTTAATGCTCAGGTGAGCATGAACACTGGCTATTTATCTGTTCAGCATTCACAGCCACTGTTTATTGGGTGGTCTTCTAAAGGTATCCTGTCTTCAAGTTCTGATGTTTTCATTATGCAGCTGCTAACGTGTTCTGTAAGTGAAATTTAACTTCCAGCTACAATCCTGAAGGCTTTGCACAAAACAAGAGAGAAATTCACTGCATAACAAACAGTTCATAAAAGAAAAACTACACAGCTATAAAAGCTTTACATAATTTACTATGGAATCTTTTTTTAAAAAGAGAATGGAGGAAGGACTGTAGACCATGTAGATGGTTGTTTCCTCATGGTTTATGTACAGATTGTTAACGTTTAATTGTGGTCATTTAGGTTCTTAGGTTCTTAGGTCAAAGCCACAAGTAGCAAGGGGCAGAAATGGTGGTGATGGAGGTACGTGCTTTACCTTTGTCCTGAGTGCAAGAGCAGCAGCTGGGGTTTTCTACAGTCACAGCAAGGACTCACCCAACAGCCCGGTCAGAAGGTGGCTGCATGAAAGGCAGAATTAAAGCAAACAAAAAAATACCTTCATAAACCCACACTGAAGGGAGAGTTGCTGCCACACTGGTGAAGTCATCGGCTGTTCCTGCTTTTGTCAGCACCTCCCATTCTGTGTTACTGATTAGATAGGGAAAGTATGCAGTCGTTGGAGAAAGGAGGAACTGTTCGTTTTTCATGTGAAAGCATCACCTGTTGGATGTCTAATGTTTCAGATCTGCTCTGGGATAACAAAGCCCCACATTCCAGCTAATTATTTCACCCTTCTTGCTTGGGTTTCGCAAACCCACTGAAGCTGAGCAGAGCAGTTAGCAGGGCAGCACAGTTCCTCTCCCGGTTCGGTCTTTTCCCTTTGCTACACGTGCTAGACGAAAAACCGGGGGAGGTGGGTGAGAAGAGCCGTGGGTGCGAAGAGCCGTGGGTGCTGCCAGGGGCGCTGCAGCCCTCCGAGCAGGGGGGCGGAGGCTGAGCTCAGAGCGGGGGGCTGCTGGGCCTGCAGGGCTGTGCCGTACGGTGTGACTTCCAGCAGGGAGCGGGGGTCCAGCCGCCGGTCAGTGCCAGCTGTGACGCGGTGCGATGGTTCCTCTCGCCCGCAGAAAGGGCGGCCGGGTGCGGAGGTGCAGCTTTAGAAGGGCTTCCCGAGGCTGGAACGAAAAGCACAGCTGGGTAAAACGTATGAACAATACACAGGCTGCTCACTGCAGCCACAAGACTTAACCAAATGTGAATTCGTTAAAAACAGCCCAAAAAATCAAGCACTAAAACCTTCCGCTTTGCACCGCCTGCTCCTATCGCAGCCGCGGTTCTCCAGCCGCCATCCGCTCACCGTCGCCTTCAGCTGCCGGGCCCTGAGCTGCGCCCGGGAGATGAGACGGCCGCCAAGCGGCGCCAGAGCTCCTGGAGCGGCTGCTGCCGCCCGGCCGCGTGCCGCCCCGCGGGCCGCCGCCGCGCCGGTGCTGGGTGAGGCACGGAGCGCGGCCAGCAGCGGAAATCTCGCCGGACAGGGCTCCGGGACCCGGCTACGTTCCCCGCAGCACGGATCCGAGCGGCCGCTTCCCCGGAGACCCGAAGCACTCGAATTTCCGCGGTTTCTGGGGAGCGGCACTCGCACGCCGTGCGGAGCCCCTTCGTACTTTCCGACAAGTCCCTGCAAGCGCCGTGACGCGCCGCAGCTCCCGCAGGGCGCGGTCCGCTCCGCCCGCTGCCCGCCGCGGCTGTCCGCCTTCCCCGCGCCTCCCGGATCCCGGGTCCTGCCGAGGCCCTTTCCGAT